TTAATGAACGCGTTCACGTTCGTTCAAAACTTTATAAAAAAAATTTTAAAAATTAATCTAATAACATAAATACTATCTAATTTTTAACACAATATTAGCCATGTTTAAAATTAATAGTTTTAAGTGAATAAATAAATTAATCTTCTAGGTTCACCTTTAAGCAGTTTTTCCAACTGTGAGGTGTTCGTGGAAAATTTTTTCGAAGGCTTATTAGGACTTAAAAATATTTTAAAAGAAATTCCTTCACACCAGAGCTTTTTTCTTTTAAAAAAATATTTATTTTTACCTAAGATTTTACATATTTTTAGATTTTCTTCCTTTTTTTTAAATAATGAAATTATTAATCGTGTTCATAAATTTTTTAGAAGTTTATTAGAAAATATTTTAAATATTAAATTGGAAGATTTTAATTGGGGTTTCTCACAATTACCCTCGAAAATGGGTGGTTTAGATTTATATCCTTTAAATCTTATATTTTTTTCCTCATTTTTGGCATCGCGTTTGATGAATAACGCCATGATATCTTCTTTTATCTCTCCTAAAGATAACCTTTTAAACTCAGCCTTGACAACATGGGTATCTTTAGCTCCACCTGAAGCTGTTCTACCCACAACCTTAACACACCAATCTATTTTCGAACCTTTAATTAAAAATTTTTTTAAAATAATCTCATCAAACCCCCCTTTGGAGTATATTCAACTATTACAGAATGCTGACTGTACTAGTGGTTATGAATGGTTGGAAGCATTACCAAGTCATAACCTAGGTAACCTCTTATCAGATGAACAATTAAGAGTTGCCATAGGCCATCGACTTGGATGTAACATTGTTCAACCACATACATGCATCAAATGTAAAATATTAGTTGACTCCAAAGGGAGACATAGTCTAAATTGTATAGCCGTTCTCTTACCAGGGCCCGAATACCAAACCTGGAGCCTACAAATTTATCATTAGATGATGGCTTAAGACCAGATGGCTTAACTTCCGTGCCTTGGTCTTTAGGGAAATCCATAATTTGGGACTTCACATGTGTATCTTCTTTCCCAAAAAATTTAAATTCTAATCCGGTTGATATATCCGAGAAAAAAAACAATGAAATATTCCAAATTCACAAATTTAATTTTTACACCGATCGTTATCTCTTCTTTTGGGCATATGCCAAGCGGAACTTTAAAATTCTTAAAAAATATAGGCGATAAGAAAAGAGCCCTTACATCCGAACCAAAAGAATACTATTTTTTAAAACAAAACCTACAAATAACTATTTTAAAATATAACTATTCATGTTTTTTGGGCACTTCTAGTCCCACCTCCGTTTTAATAAAATAATGTTTTATTTTATTTTATATTTGATATGTTAATTTTAATATTTTAAACTATGTTAATAAAAATTTACAATAATTATTTTTATTTATTTAAAAAAATTCTTATTAATTTTTAATATATAAAAACTTTTATATATCATATGAAATTAATTATTTATTAAATTTATATATTCAATAATACTTTAGTGCTCAACTATTAAAATATGAAACCTGATAAAAAAACTAAGAAGGCGAATTTTCAAATAATCACACTAAAAATAAATAAATTCTAATAGATATTAACTATTTATGTATTTAATATTTAATGATTTTTACTTATGATAATAATCAAATCATAATAATTTAATAATGAAAATAAATTATTAACAGACTTACAGTGATATATTAAAAACAAAAACTATTAAGTGGTATAATAAATAAGTTTGAAGTTTTTAAAAAACATAAATACCTCATTTATGTATTAGGAAAAAAATAGTTTAAGTGAATTTTTTTTCACATTATTACAATAATTTAAAAAAAAAAGTAACATAAGAATTTACCTATGAAATGTTTCTAGAATATCTTATGTAATTGGAAAATTAATTTTTTGGAAGATTTGGAAGTAAGTGGTAATACTGTATTGTATAAATCATCAACAAAAAATAATACTATGTATTTAGTGTTCTTTATTTCAGATTCTATGAACCTTAAATCTCAATATTGATCATAAAGACTTACACTAAAGAATTTAAACTTAAAATCAGCCACCACCCACCTTTAAAGTAATTAACTTATATTGCAGATAAATGTAAATGATATTCTTTTTTTTCTATAGAAAGGCGCTCGGAAGAACGAAATATAAAAATTAACAACCAAAGAATATTTTATTTTGTATATATTATAATAATCTATAATTACAAATACAAACACAATAATAATAATTTAATTTTGTAAGAAAATATTATATTTTAAAATTGCATTCTCGTTTAGTTTTGAGTTTGAGTGTTCCGAAATTGGCATCTTTATTTTTATATAAATAGAGAAAAGATAAAAATATATTTAAAATATTATATAAATTTATATTACCTTTAATTGATTGATTGTCCCCGAAAAGTTCCAAAAAATTATGCATATGATTATGTTTGTAAAATCGTACTACCGATTTAATTTCGAAGTAACATTATTCATGATTTGATCTCTATTGTTTGGCTTATCTTTCTTTCTTTCTTTTTTGTTTTTCATGACCCCGAAAAAGTTTTCAATAGGATTTAATTGAGGTGAATATGGCGTAAGATATTCAATTCGATTTTTATAGCTATCAATAAGATGACACTTATATATTGCGGCATTATCCATAATGATAATTGCATCGTTTGGAAGAATTGTTACTAATTCTCTCAGATAATCAAGGAAAAGCAACCCATTAAAGGGCCCTTCAATAATTCGATAGGTTATAAGGCCACCAATTCCTATTGTACATAAAATGCTAACGTTCTTGCCTTTGGAAGGTGGAACTATCACAGTTGGTGTGACGTTGTAGGGGGCCCAAGCATACACAGGTACGACATGTAGGTTTATGCCTGTTTCATCCAGGAAGAACATTTTTTCCATAGGAATATTTACCATTTTAAGGCAACTGGCCAATGCGAATTGCTCCTGGTGTATTTCGTCGATCGGGCTCTATTCCAGCCATATTTTTAGACCATCCTATTTTTTTAATATATTTTCTGATGGTCCCCTCATTTTTTGGGAAACCTGGAGGCAAATTTTCTATGATATCTTTGATAGTAGGCGTGTTGTTATTCATTAAAATATTTATAACCTTTCTTTCGATTTCGGATGTGTCTTTTTTTTGCATCCCTTTTTTTGAATTTGATATTGCTTCAATGGCCCCCCTATAAAATCTGGAAAGGTTTCTTGCCTTAATTTGTTAACCGAGGCTATTGACATATTAATATGTTTGGCAATGTCCTTTATTTTCATTCTTTCCATTTCCGGCTGGGATAACAAATTGGTTACTATGTCAATTTTCTCTTTATTCCAACAATTATATTTTCTTTTTGGGTTTTGAATTGCCGGTGAGTTTATAGGGTTTATTATAGTAGAATTGGCAATTGTGATGGTTCCACCTACCAAAGGCAAGAACGTTAGCATTTTATGTACATCAGGAATTGGGGCCCTTATAACCTATCGAATTATTGAAGGACCCTATAATGGGTTGCATTTTCTTGATTATCTGAGAAAATTAGTAAAAATTTTTCCAAACGATGCAATTATCATTTTGGATAATGCCGCAATACACAAATGTCATCTTATCGATAGCTATAAAAATCGAAGTGAATATCTTCCGCCATATTCACCTCAATTAAATCCTATTAAAACTTTTTCGGGGTCATGAAAAGCAAATATAGGTCTATACCAAGGCCAAACAATAGAGATCAAATCGTAAATAATGTTGCTTCGATATTAAATCGGTACATACCGTACATTACAAACTTTTATAATCATGTGCATGATTTTGGAACTTGGTTATCGGGGACAACTAATCAATTAAAGGTAATATAAATTTTTACAATATTTTAAATATATATTTTTTTTTTCTATTTATAAAAATAAAGATGTCAATTTCGGAACACTTAAACTCAAAACTAAACGAAAAAACAATTTTAAAATATAATATTTTCTCACAAAATTAAATCATTATGTAAATTATTATATTGCGATTGTTTGTAATTATAGATTATTATAATATATACAAAATCAAATATTCAACTATATTTGATTAAAAAAATATTTGAAATTTATATTTTCTAAATTTTAAAAAATAAATATTTTATTAATTGGTTTGGGATGTAAACTAAATTTTCTTATTGGGTTGTTGCTATTCAAAAAAATAATTTTTATATTTCGTTTTTCTATAAAAAAAAGAATGGCATTTACATTTATTTAAAAAATTTTATTTTTCAAAAATTTCTTCTGATTATTATTTTTTTTAAATTAAAATAAAGTTTATAAAAATTTTGAAAAAATATTCACTTAAACTATCTTTTTTCTATTACATAAATGAGGTATTTCTGTTTTTTAAACACTTCAAACTTATTTATTATACCACTTAATAGTCGTTATTTTTAATATATCACCAAATAAAACATCTGCAACCCTGTATACTATAGGATAAAAATAGTGGCTTGTTAAAAAATTCAAATGTGTTAAAATATTTGGATTAACATTTTTTATTTTCAAATGAATAAAAATAAGAATTTCTTAATTGAACGAACGTAAAATACGAACGCGTTCTTCAAAAAAAGCATTTCAAAAATAAAAGGAACGATTTTTTTCAAAAAAACGAACTTGTTCCCGATCGCGTTCAATTACAACATTATTAAAAATAAATAAAGGCTGGACTCGGTTTGAAAACATTGAATTTTTTTAAGAGTTATAATGCGATCTGGAAAAGTATTCCCAAAATCAAGAAATTTTAGAACCCCCTTTCCTTTTCTATGAAAGTATTTTTAAAAATTATATCTGATATTTATGTTTTAAACGAATGAAATGAGGGATTTTTTTTCCTCATTCTGGGGGGGGGGGTGTAAATTGATTTAATTGGTGCTAAATCTTAAGAGATGATGGCAAAGAAAGAAATCCTAATTAAATACTATACAATATCATTTATACTTAAAATCACCATAATAGTTGCTTCTGAAACCCAAGAAAACAGCTCCGAGCCAAGAAAACAAAAGTAATGCTAACGATTATGATATGAGTTCGCCTGGTAAAGAAAAGCCATATCCTCTTAATATTTCAAAAAAGGAAGAAAGGTTATTTAAGTCTACTATCTTTATTTAGTAATTTCAAAAAATTTAGAAAGATTTATCTTTCCTATTTAAAGATTTTGTCTTTGTATTTTATGAATTGTCTCATGAACCATATCTTAAATTCAAGTTTTATAATATTCGTATATCCCGGTTTGGGTCAATATTTAGGGGATATTTAACAATTTAAAAATTTTTTTTTTTTAAACTTTCCTATTCTAGTTGATTTATTTGATGTTTTTTTTATAAAATAGTCTATTATCATAAAATGATGAGGGGGGGTTAACAGAATTATTTTATCCCTTTTTTCTGTCACATATTTTTGTGTGATTAGAAGGACACTATGTCACTAAAAGTATATAAATATAAATTAATTTGATCCCGAATTAACTAAGCTTTAATTTTATTTTCACATTGTAAAAATCATTATTTTATTTTAAAAAAGGGAAAAATCAAGCTCATTGGATGCGACGGATTCAGTTTACAATAAAGAGGTATAAATAATTTTTTTAAAAAAAAGTAATGTATAAAATATAGTTATTAGCCAAGAAATCTCATCAACCCGTGAAATTTAATTTCTCTGGTAATACTATTACCAAGGTCTCAAAATGGGATGGCAATAGTAAAAAAGATAACGATAAGCCAATTGGCAACTCATCTCTCAAGGATAATATAGGAGAAGAAGGGACCAAAAACAAAAGTGCATTATTGATTTTTCTTAGTTATTTTAAATCAATAATATAACATAATTTGTTTTAAATGTTACGCGCCAGACTTAAAATTTAACAATGATTATTATATCTGATTTATTTCCTAAGCAATTTAACACAGATAATAAATGTTAGCTTCTTAAATCCACCATAATTATAAATTTCTTTAAACTAAATAATATATTTGATTAAAAAGATTACAACCAGGTTATACAAACGAAAGATGAGTTAACAAATTCCAGACCATTAAAAAAGGTTTATTACGTTATACTTAAAATTAATACATATATTATTTTTAGAAATAATTTATTTAGTGGATTTAAATAAAATTTAAATAAATTCGCGCAAAAGTTTTATATAGTTATTATATCTTTTATAAAAAGGAAAGACCTCCCATTCAATTATACCGTCCCGGAAAAGGGCTTATCAAAAGAGAAAAACCGCAATAATCTTTGGGGACATCTTGAAAAAAATTAAAAATGAAATTACTTTTTATTAAAAAAAGGAGAAGAAACATAGTGATCACAAGAAAATACAATTAAAATAATACGGATTTTGATTGAACCTAAATTCATATATAGTAGCACCTGAATAAGAACTATAAATATAACTTATATCATTTTAAAGCTCTTTATGAAAAATACGCTTGCTGTGTTCTTCCATTGTAACGGAAAACCATATGATTTCTATTCTTATGTAAACTGATTTTAAAATGAAAATTATAGTATTTGATAATTTTTTAAAACAAATAAGATAGTGATGTCATTATTTAATATTCCAAAGCTAATTGTTTTTAAATTAATAATTTAGACAAATTAAGAGAAGATAAAGCGAAAGAAGTTCTAATTTCTCGATATTTAATTGTGTAAATAAATTTTGCTCTATTTATAAAATCGTTAGATTATTAAAATATGGATCCTTCATGGTACTAATAAGTAGTATTGTTAAACGGCTCGTTTTGAGCCAATTTTTAAAAACGGCTAACACAATACTTTATCCAGAAAAATATTACACAAGCCTCAAGATTTTGCTCATAGAAGTAACAAAGGTCTATACATATATTTTCAAAATCTCTAGGCTTAGGCAATATTTTTTAGGCTAAAATATTAAGTTAACCGTTTTTAAAAATCGGCTCAAAACGAGCCATTTAACAACACTACTAATAAGTCTTGTTTTTATTAACCTATTTTGCTCATGAATGACCCTGGCAGTAAATGAGGTAGTAGGAACAGGTTACAAATATATAAAATTGGGGAAGCAGAAAAATTTGATAGTAAACAAGATAATTTTTTCTTAAATGAGTTTTTCCAGTTTGAATTATAATAAGTCATACAAATCTCAGAATTAGACAAGTCTTTTGATTCTTTAAGTTCAGGTCATCTGTAACATTTACATTCAACTATTAACCATATAAATATTTTGAATGTAGACATTTCGTCGAAAACTTTTCTAGAAACAAAATGGTAAATTTACAGATATCCTCGCTATCATCTTTAAAAAATAAGCTATTTACAGCGATTTTTTTAAAAATACAAATCATTTTGTGTTTATCGAATGATTTTGAAATATTGATTCGTTAAATACTGCCTTTGGTAGAATAGCCAAATTATTTTTGATTTAGCCTAATTTTAAAATAAAATATTAAATTGCTCATTATTTGAAATGAATACTTTTTCTGAAGATATCAAACCTATGAATCAAGATAAGATGATGAATTAAATTATAATATTTTTAGAGAAAATAGATAAAACAGCAATGATATATTCTGTAACACTATATATGCTTATATAATAAACACAAAATATTTAACTAACCTCGATGATACTGTAAAACTAGATTAGATACAATACATTTGGAGATGTAATTATTCTTCATAGTCCAGCATTAATTAAACTTGTATATTATTTACATGGAATATCTCTTTTGAATTTTGTAGTTCTTATAAATCTCCTAATAGAAAGGGGAATACAGTTGGTAATTTAAATTTACTATTTTCTTTATCAAAAAAATTTAAAAGAGATATGTTTAAAAATCTACTAAAATTAGAAGATAAAAAAGAAAAATAAAACAGACAAAATTATTATGGTAAAAAATAATCAAATTTTTAATGTTATTTACTATTTTACTCATTAATAATATATAAATTAAATAATTTTGTATATATTATATTAATAGAATTATTTTTTTATGATTTCTAATAAAGTTCTTAAATTTAGATAACTTATTAGCTATATTATATACAATTGTATTTAGTGACATATTCCTACTGAACTATATTAAAGGTAAATATATTTTTGTTAAAATATCACTATTTAACAAATTAAAAAATATAAAATTCAAATAAGGAAAAATTTATTATAATAAAAATATATTTTTAAAACATAATTTTTTTTTATAATATAGGTTTGTGGTGTCAGCAAACTATTATTATGAAATATTTAATATAAAATATCACTATAAAATGTAAAATCAATTAAAAAAAAATATATAAAATAAAATTTTATTTATTTTTATAATAAAAAATGATGTATAAATAAAGGGTTACTGGCATAGTTAGGTAAGTTCACTTTCTTTTGAAATTTTTTGTTATCCTCTCAAAGTCAGTGAAAGTAGGTGGTGGCATAATATGATTACTTACTAAAGTTTGTCACTTAGCTAGGCATATGGTCCTAATATTTTTTTGGATTGTTAAAATCCCCACTTGAAGGATTAAGTTAAGCTAGGTTATTTATAGCCAGTGGCTAAATACCTAGATAAAAATTTATATAATTGATAAAGTACTTTACTATTACCAAAGACAAACCATGCATTTTTCTTCTAGTCATAGGATATTTAATAAAATTAGGCTGGTGTGTAAACATATTTTATATGTTTTAGTATGTAATAAGAAGTTTCCTATTTAAAATAGAATTAAAGATAAAATAGAATAAATAAATACGTATTTCATTCTCCTCTAATTATGAAATTGATACATATTTTTTAAGAATCTCAGAAAGAGGATGTAAAATTCACCCTCTTTCCTTTTATTAATATTTAAAAGGTTTAATATTCTCTTCTTCATCATCATATTGCACAAAAATAATAATTTGATGGAAAAAATAATTAAATATTTTTAAAATCGCCAAGATATTAAATTTGCACTAAGAATGAAAATCGCTGCAAGCGATCAGCTGATATGTCGCCGCGATTTCGCCCGCAAATAACGAGGGTAGCAATTTTTTAGTGCAATTCTAACATGTTTTTAGCACAAATTTCATCATTTTCGGCAAGGCCAGAATAATATAAAAAATTCAATGAAACTAGTGGAGGTTACTATATTATCAAAAGATTATTTAAATTTGTGTCATTCAAAAACAGATGATGTTTTCTATAAATTGTAATCGATACATTTATGTATTTGATCGAACCAATTTTTTTAGAAGGTTTAGTTGTTAAAGGTTTTGGCAGAGGAAGTAAACAATTAGGATATCCTACCGGTTTATATCACTCATATATAGAAAATTTTAATATATATTTAGCTAATTTTTCTGAAAATGCAATCGAATCTCTTCCAAAAACCTTAAGAAATGGTGTATACTTTGGCTTTGCAAATCTAGATGCTGAGAATAAGATATATAGAATGGTTGCCAACTTAGGATATTGTCCCTTTTTCCAAAATACTCAAAGATCATTTGTAAATTTAATTTTGTTTATAAGAAATTTAATTATGATCAGCTCTAAACATAAAATAATCATATCTTATAAGTGTTTATATAATCAAACACAAAATATTTTAAGGAAACTCACATTCTACATGATTTTCCTACAGATTTTTATGGGAGCTTACTGAAAGTTGCTATTATAGATTACATACGTGAAGAGAGAAATTTTACATCAATTGGTTAAATTATTTTTACTTTATAAATAATAATTATATAATAGATTGCTTAATATTACAGATTGAAAATGATATAAAACTTGCCAATGTTAAGCTTGATAAATATCAATTATCTGCTCAAATTTATCAGAAATTTAATATAGAGTCCTAAATCATGATTTATTTTTGTCCATATCAATAATAAAATTGTAAAAATAAAATAATTAATTGTTCTACTTTAATAATGAAATTATATAACCTATCTCCAAAAAATTTCTTATATTGAATGCAATAATATCAATGCACTTTTCTATGTATCTAAAATTACCATGGCTGGGAAAAAGTATATAAGTTAGATAAAACCTGTATCACAGTTTTAATTATTTTAAGAGGTCTATTCACTATATTAAATATTTAAGAAATCTCTCCCATTTTTTGTGATTATTAAATAAGAATTCCTTTTCTTATCATCTCATGGGCCCATAATTGGAATGGGGACTTTTTAAAAATAATGAATTTGCACCCAATTTTGAACTACAAAGATCTAAAATATTATATCAATCTCAATTTTTATTAATAAGTTTTCCCCATTTCCAGAGCCTTTTGGAAAAAGGTTTTATATACTCATTATTAATTTACTTACAACTATTCTATCATTAATGCCAAAAGATTAATAAATATTTTATAAATATCAGGTGTTTTTTAAACTACTTAAAATTGTATTATAAATAATAATGCTATGAATAAAATAATAAATTTACCGATATTTTTAAATAATTGATTTCTTCATTATTTGAAATTATTGTCAAATAAATTCCAACATTTTAATTCATTTTAGGTTATATCATTTTTTAAACCAAATCCTTATTTTTAAACATATTCAAGCTATATTTGATGACTTTAGAATATGACAATTTTTACTTATTAATTCTTTATTAGAGTCTTTAATCATTTATAAAATTTGTTTATTCAATTTTCATCATTGAAATAAGCACAACTATATTTCATTTAAAACCCATGCTTTTTAAGTTTTTGAACCAATCGAGAAGGAAAACAATATCGCCAATAATTCATAGATTTATTTTTCAAATATTAATAAAATATAGCAAAATTTTTTGAAAAAGCTCTTATTAAGTGGCAGGACAATAATTTATTCAACAAATAAAGATATGATATTTACATATTCTTATAAAAACAGAAAGAGGGAATTTTGAATTTCTTTTTTGGCCATGCATGGTATTTTTATATTTTAGAATGTGAGATTTTTATATATATTTTGGAAAATTTTATAAATTTGGGCAACCATCACGAATCGAATAAGTTTTTTAAAGTAGATATATGCAGTAAGTGATGTAGAGGTCAGCAAAGCCTGGCCTGCTTAGACGTGTTTCAGACCAATTTGTCTGCCTAAACCCATTAATTTTTTTGCCAAGCAACACATAATTTTATTAAAAAATTTAGGCTATTTATACTATCTAATATTATATTTTATAAACAATATAAGTCAGTACTCAATATTACTTATTTCTTCAGTTAAAGATAATTTAGCTCCTTAGTTCAAGTATGAAACATTTTTTTACACATATAAAAAAAATTGAAGTTAAGTTAGGAAAAGATTTTGACAAATACAAACAAATCAAACCGATAAAAAATATTCGATGAAGACCTTGAAGATTCTTCTGATAATTTTTCAATAAGGTTTTTTGAACATTCTTATATTTTTAAATATTACATTTAGCTATGAGTGACGAGCAACGCGATACTTTTATTATAAAATGAGGAATACATTCTTTTTCAAATTCAATAATTATCGTTCATATATTTAACTCTGTAATCGATGGCCCTCTTTTAAGTATATATTTTAATTGTGACACTGTGACCGTGACACGTTTAAATTCTACCGAATAACATAATTTGTTAAGATATATATTTAAATTCATATGAGTGTGATCAAAAATAATATATTTATTTGTGATATTTATATAATGCAATGTTGATGAGAGTCCTACTTCTCTTAAGTCAATTATTCCAGTAAATTTTAATTTCTCCACTCCCCCTCACACCCTCTCAATTAAATTGCACCAAATATTTTAACAAAAATATAAAATAAACAAAAAATGAATTAGAAATATCTTTAACGAATGATTATAACTTTTCATAAAGTCCCAAGCAACAAAACTATATTTCAACATTTTATATAAAAGTTGGATAGGATCTCAAAATTAATTAACATCTTTGAATGTAGAGTTAACTTTTTATAATTTTAGAATTCGACTGCTTTAATTATGTCTTATAATAGACTTCTTACCTGTTCTATATTTCCCATATATATTTCCAATATGCAACAGCCACATCTTTAAACTCAAAATCAGTAATCACTTTATTTACTTTCCAGATATGCACCCCAAATTTTCTAGCCATAAAAACTCATTGAATTTTTTAAAATAACACTTATTATATATAAGTTTATTTTTATAAATTGTTGCATAAAAAAATTCTATTTTCCTCCGTCTATAAATTGAGAACATCCATTTACATCCTGAAATGAGTTTTTATGGACAAGTATTTTAATCATTTTATGATAAATCTAAACATATTTTAGCCCCTAGTTATAGATGGGAAAGGCCATCTTTTAGGCCGATTATCAACTATTGTAGCTAAACATGCGCTTCAAGGTTACTATATATAATTCATTATTCTTAAAATTAATTTAGGGCAAAAGGTAGTTGTCGTTAGATGTGAAAAGATTAATATATCTGGGAAATTTATTAGAAATAAATGTAAACTTTATATTAGGGTTTATTTAATTTTTTTTTAGTAAAATATCTTGCATTTTTGCGTAAAAGATGTAATGTTAATCCTGCCAGGGGCCCTTTTCATCTTAGAGCACCTAGCAAAATTCTTCTAAGAACCATTAGAGGTAGATAATTTTTATATTACATTAGTATTACTTTTTTTGTCTTAGGTATGCTACCCCATAAAACCCATCGTGGTAGTGATGCTTTAAAAAGAATAAAAGCTTTTGAAGGAATTCCCCCACTCTATAATAAATGTAAAAGAAGAGTAATTCCCTCAGCATTGAGAGTTATCAAATTAATTCCTGGAAGAAGGGTAATATAATACTTTTAAAAGTGATGAAAAAATTTCCTTACCTACATTATATGAAAATCATGATTTTTGTTGTATCTGACACATTTATATATTACATAAATATATAATCATCTTTATGTTTAGTTTTGTGAATTAAGCAGATTATCTCATGAGGTAGGTTGGAAGTATCAAAAAGTTATTGAAACATTAGAAACTAAACGTATATCTCAAGGAAAAAGATATTATGAAAAAAAGAAAAAAGAGAGAGTAAATTCATTTGTACAATGTAATTTTATTAAAATTTTTAGCAAATATTGGTCAAAGCTAAAAAAAATGTTGCAGAAAAAATAAAACCATATCAAGATATTATTGAATCTTATGGTGGTCATTAACTTGATATATTATATATATTTAAATTATTATTTATAGATAATAAATAATTTTATTTGTAAAATTTATCCTGTTATATATCTAGTTTTTAAATTAACTCTACTTGATATCAGGAACATTTATAAAACTCTAAATATTTTCATGGTTTATTTCATAAAATTAGTGAAATAAGATTACCCTACATCTTTACTTTTCATATGTTAAATCTTCAATTTTATAATTGCATTAGTATTATAATTAGCAACATAATTTATGATTGAAATTTTAATCTTTTATTACGTAGTATAAAAATATCTTGAAAGTGTATTATTTGAAAAGTTACATTTTTAAAAAGTTAGATTAAATTTTATACCTGCAATTATTTTATTAAATAATTTTCTTAAAAAACAAACCTCGAAGTTAAGTTTATCAAACATCATATGTAAACTTAAGTATTAATAAAACTAATATAAAATTAAGTTATCAAATGTTATTTTTTTTATTACTTATATAATGTACCCCTTGGAAAATTTAATAACTAAGAATTATAATCTTACAATAATTAAAATACTAATATTTATAGAATTAAAATCATATCTCTGGTCTACAGCAAAATGTTTTTATGTTATATCATCAATGAAAAGGGAAACTTATCTTGATATATTACATTCTAATAAACATACAATTTTATTTATTAACAATATCTGGTTAATATCTAAATATTTTATTGACTAATCTCTTGTTAATAATTGGTGTATTTATATTGGTAATAGGAGAAAATACCCCATGGAAAAAAAAATTTAAAAAAAAGGAAAATCGTTATTTATAAAAAAAAAATTTTTGTCAATTTTTCTTAAATTTTTTTCTCAATTTATTATTTTCTTCCCATTTTTGCTTTAAGTCATTGTTAATCTTTATTTTTCTGACCTTTTCTCAATTTTCTTCTTCTCAATTTTCACTTAATTTTTTTAGTATAACCTAGCAATAATTAATATTGATAAATAATTTTATAAGTGAATGCCACAATCATTAACAGCTAGTAGACTCCAAAAATAAACACAAAATATTTACGAAAAAATATTCAAAGTAATGCCTAAATGTCAAGAACAGGATTTATTTCCTGATCCATTATATATATATACATGGATTTCGAAAAGTGCTATGAGTGCGGTTAAAACTGTCATTGGTATGATTATTAATATGTTAAATTATTTATATTTATTTTTTCAATTAGGGAATCACATCATAATCAGAGGATGCTTTTACCATTTGTGTCAAAGTACCCATAGAAAAATTAAAAAGCTATGTCTGGAAAGCCAATACAGAACTGATGAAGCCCTAAGCTTCTTTTGTGGCATGTTGGATGGCTTAGCATTTGTTCCTTTATGTGATATGGGCAATGCAATGGCATTCCTTAGATCTGTTACTCTGAGCAATGGTAAGGATATTCTTGAATATTTCAATAAAGTCAATTGAGTTTCAAGGGAGATCACAAGAAGCAATTCTCAATCCCAGATAGGTCGAATTGGGCCTAGATTTCCTCCACAAACTTGAATCAGAGCACTATTCAATGAACTCATAAATTATATAATGCGAAGATTCAAATCATCCATTTTCTAATCTTGTTGTGAATAAACTCCCATCAATCAGGGTATTGATTAAAAAAATGAAATGCTAGGTGGCTGCCGATGAAACCAAACTTGAACAATGGCGTGTAGGTAGTTTGACATCGAAAACAAAATCGCAGTGCTTAAACAAGAAAAAATGCTGATGTTCAAATTGGTACTGGAGAAAAAAAATAACCCATGTATTACTTATTTTTGTAAAAAATTTTGCTATAGTAATAAATACAATATCCTTAATTACTATATTAAGTAGACTAAATTTGCAATAAGATCTGTTTATTTTATTGATAAATTATTATTATGTATATAATTTATTAAATTATACTTTTTTCTAAAATACTAATTTGTCTACCTTATTAAATACAAATAAAAATATACCGGTATTATTAGATCTTAAGTAAATTTGAAAAAAATTTTGGGTTTTTTTTTCTGGGATTCATTTATATTATATCTCCCAATGTTAGACACCATAGTGAGATAACATAAGGGTCATTTTATGACATCAAACCAGTCACATATCCAGTGTTTTAGTGAATAGGAGATATCCCTCCACTCACAAACCAAAAAGAATTCAATCTCACTATATGTACATGATTAGAGAAGCCTATTCTAAGTGCTTGTCAAATGGCCTAAAAAATGTTTCTCATCGAAAGCCATCTTGCAGAAATATATTATAGAACCCAATATTTTTAATATTTGTATCACAAAATATTATACTAGTATTAAATGCAATCTCTCAAAAAAATTTTCATTCTTTAAGCACCTTTTTGTGATAATTGCTAAAAGTAACAAGAGCTATTTTATCTTCTCATGCTTGGCATATGTAAAATTTTAAGGGGTCAGATTAATTATTTAACTAATAGAATTTTTATTTTAATATATCCATAGAATTCAGATTTATCCTAAATGAATAAAATTAATATATATCCATAAAGTTTGTTCTAGGCATAAAACTTATTTAAAGATAATCTTCAAAATAGATATTGATATATATGAAAATCAGATAGGTTATTGTTTTAGAGCTTATGAGAGGTTATTGTTTTAGAGCTTATGAGATTTCATAACCCTGCTGCTGACCTTTGCTAAAATCTTGTAAGCAGAGTTGTTTCTGTATCTAGATACTCTTATAAAAGTATATTTAAAAAATATTCAGATTAAATAAAAATAATTTTTTTTTCCCCATTTGTGAAGGATATTTTTATCATTTAAAGGTGAATCTTTGCTTAGTGATGACCCTTATTAATTATTAATAACAATACCAATGATACAAAAAATTATATAAACATAAATTTACTTAGAATTTTTAAAATAATTTTATAGATATTCTTTAAATGAATAAATTATAAGTTTAATCCTTTAATCTCGTTTTAAATGAAATTTGTTTGGAAGAATAATAAAATTATTTATAATTACTTTTTTTATTATTTATATGGTGATCGAATTACAAAATATATCATTGTTTACTTATATTATGCTGTTTCTATTCGAGAACAGTGAACCTTGTATGAGTAGATGAAAATTATATCTATATACGTTTTCAGGAGATGTATTAATATCCATTTTAAATGTATCTTAACAACTAGAGGTAATATTTTATTGGCTAAATAAAATATAAATTTGTAACTTAAAATAATCTGATCAGCAATACTAACCTTTAAGTCAAATAAGTTTATTTCATCAGTAACCTAACATTTTATATTTTGATTCCATATCCATAGCACTTGCACAAATGAAAAAACTTTTTATTTAAAGAATGTAAACTTGATAACAAATAGAAGTTTTGATTTAAAAAATACTTTGATTTTCAATTGTATATAAATTATTTCCGTAAATATCTTATGCATTTATATCAGAAACTTGGAGAGGTACCCCCATTCCGTTTTTTTTAAAAAAAAATTTTCGGCCAGGCCTGGTCAAGCTTTTTTTAAAATGTATTTATAATTCTAGTTAATAGCGATTATTTTATTTTTTCTAATAGGGCAGCCCATATTAGAAAAAATAAAGTACGGCCCGAGTACCGTGGTCAGGCTGGGCCTGTTTCTGATTTATATTATTTTTTAAAATATAAACTATTATTCTTGAATGTAAAAATTACTACAAGCTAATAATCGGAGGTGGTATGATTGTGACAAAATATTGTTAATTTAATGCTAGATAATTTACATGAATTTATACAAATGCTTATTAATAAATTTGTAGATATAATTATAGCTTTGCCTCTAATGACGGTTTACATAAATTTTCAAACAATACATTAGATCTAGTGTATGAGCTATCAATATCGCTTTCAATGTCTAAGAAAACAATGACTTTCTTTCATTATAAAAAGTGCCTACCTCCAGAAGTGGGAAAAAATCCATTAGTAAATAAAATAATGATATCTCAGGTTATTTCATTTCAATAAAAGCTCAAAGATTTTGTTATTAATCGGTAATATAATTACGCTTTTTATTTCATAAATTTACTAAGTGTTGGTTTAAGGATAGTATTAGATTAGTATCTAGAAAATGGAAGCCAGGGGGATATATAAAATACAATTGATTCTACTATAACTTCAAAAAAGACTCATCTTATCGGAAAATGTCATTACAGGTCGATGTTCTAAATTTTTGGAAAGGAAAGAAACCAATATCCAATTCCTTCCACACTTCAAAAAAATCTTAACGTTCTAATAACTTGTACACATAGTGATAAAGGTTTCTCTATTGGTAGTTAAATTAAAATTCTTTACTAAAATTAAATTTATAATTCGTTTAAATCAAGTATAAAATGTAGTATTACTAGAGCACGTTATATAATTTTTTTATTTAAAATTTTTAGTGTTAATTTAAAAAATTTAATTAGCACTTATAAAGTAATAATTTAATAAATATTATTGTGATTCGTGCCACCCTTGATGATGGTGGCGCTTCGCGAGCCACTGTTTAAACACCGGCTGCCAATTGTTTCATCAGCACAAGCACATAGGCCTAGATATAAATCACTAATATAATTTTAGTAAAACGCTTGAAATATATGCTACACACAAAATAAACAAGTTAGGTAATATTTTTGACATGTATATCGATGGGATTTGGAATAGTTCAATGAAATATAGCGCGTTTTTAATTCAACCAATTTTTTAGTATGAAAACAATACAAGCTTTATTTAATATAAAATGCAATCAAATCACAAAAATAAGTTTTTTTTAGAATCCAATTAATGTTACAAACTATAAAAATTAATTTTTTTTATAATCTGTGTTCAATATTTAATAAATGAGATACGTTTTCTATTTCATAAATTATCCATAAAATGTGGTTGAGATTTAAAAACAGGGTCATTACGAATGGTTAAAATTTCACAACCCGTTTCAGTTACTAATAACGTATGTTCAAACTGTGCACTCCTTTTACCATCTTGAGTGGCGGCCGTCCATTCATCTGGCCAAATAATGTCCCTCCAAGTGCCTTTTAATAATAAGATTAAATATGGAAGAATGAGAATAAGAAAGTAAATTTCAATAAATTATGAATTTAACATACCTTGATTAATCATGGGTTCTATGGTGAAGGAATGGCCAGGTTGCATAACACCCGTCGTTTTATTTTCTAATTAAAAAAAATTAATTTGACATTATAACTAAATAAATCACGTGACTATCATAATTAAATTAAATCCTGATGCTGTGTCGAAAAAAATGACGGAAACTGTAGATTAGCCTTAGGAAAATAATAAAAAGAAAGAACCCAACCATTATAACAAGTCGTAAAACCCAGTTATAGTTCGACCTTTAAAGCTGATTTAAAATTTTTCGAATATATTTCATTAATTCGTACTAATTAAAAAAAATGAATAGTACAAATTTGGTTGTGTTTAATTTACTTAATAATTTTATTATTTATTTCATTGCTTACTTTAATTTTTGTTAAATGTTTTAGGGAGCCAATTTAAAAATAAATCCAATTCTTATAAAAACCCCAAAATAAGTTGAATTAATTTTATGTTTTATAATATAATAGAGATATCAACTTTGCTTTCTTTATTTTTATTTTAGGGAGTCAATTAAATTTTTTTAAAATTCTTATAAAAACCCCAGAACAAATTGAGTAAAAATTGTTTTAATTTTATAGCATTATGGGGGGGGGGGGGAGTCGATTAAAAAAAATCCAATTCTTATAAAAAAACCGGAGCGAATTGAAAAGAACCGATTGTTTTAAAAAACCAGCATGGAACAAACCAACCTTAAAATTAAAACCTGAGAACCGGAATGTTAATGGTCCGGTCCTTCCTAAGTAATAAATAATTAAAATAAGAAAGTAAAATCTATTCGTATACTTGCGTAATGAGGCACGTTGGGTAATGTATGAAAAACTCTATAGTAAATTAAACAATAAACATAAAAAGTAAAATGTCGATTTATATGATATTTCAAGACAGCATAACAAATAGGAGAAAGCATTAATTAATTATTTCCTAAATGGGAGTTCAAAATATTAACTTGTGTATTCCATGTCCGCAGAAACTTTTAACGACCGAAACACCATTTTGATTAGCTATTTTTTGTATAACGTTCCCAATGTCTCTATATTTAACACCGGGCTTGACTTTATTTTATATATATGATACAATTTTTTGTAAAAAAACAGTGATAGGCCAACTGTTGTGTAAGAGCTAGTTAAAATCACATAGAATCGATATAAAATAGGATAATTTTTGTAAGTTATTAAATATTTATATTTAAGGTACCCATCCTTTCAAATCTTTAATTTTAATTAAAATTTGCCTGTAAAAAGAATTGTATAAATCGAATGCTGTATTAAAATAATTCATATTTTATTGATTTCATTTTTTGAAAAATCTTCAATTTTATATGACCAAATAATGAAATTTTTACATAATCTTATTTATGTGATATTTTTATTCATATTAAAGATGAATCCTCCATATCTTTTTTAATTAAAATACATTTAAAAAAGTAAAATTTAAACATTTACAAATATAAAGAAAATCAAATATTTTAAAAGATATCTGTTTGTAAAATGTCAAGTAATTATAATTATTATGTATAGCTGAAACAAAAATAAAATCGTTTTCATCTCCCACATCTTGATCTAAAAGCATAGGCGTAATAAAATAGTTTAATTTTAAGAAAAATTTTAAAAAATTTTACCTAGTTCTATAGCTTTGCTCAAACATTCGTACGTAACTTTAACCAGTTTTTTGCTAGCTTCGTCAACATTTCCCACAAAAAATGTCTCGTTCAAGTCGCCATGAAAACCATCGTGATATACCGTTATGTCAACTTGTTATATATGTATATATATAAAAAAAAATATTAAGAGTTGTTGTATACATTAGAAATATTTTTTTCTAAAAAAAGGAATTCCAATAGTAACTACTAAGTCTATAATCGAATAATAAATTATCCGTAAGATTCTTTTGAATGAATTGAATAGTTTACTATTAGTATCCATACGAATAATAAAATATACTATTTAATATTCGTATCCCTGCGAATAATAAAACATACTACAAAAAATAGAATAAAATTGTATCGATACAGATACATCTTTAAACCCGAATTTGTATCTAGATAAGTTTTCGGAAGATATATCTGTCATTCACTATTCGACTCGTATTTGAGTAGGCCTAGTAACTAGTATTGTAAAATGGCTCGATTTGAGCCAACTTTTTAAAAAATGGCTAACTTATAATATAATATTAAGAAACATATTACATATACCTGGAGATTTTGCTCATAGATGGCAAAAAGGTTGATACATCTATTAAAGAAATCTCAAGGCATAGGCAATATTTTTCTGGCTTAAAATATTGAGTTAGACATTTAAAAAAATAGGCTCATAGGTAACAACTATGAAAAATTTTTTTTTTTGATCCGTTCCAAATAAACCATTTATTTAAATAATGTTTTAATAGATTATATGTTGATATTTTTTTTTAAGTATTACTAACTATTAACTACATAAAAAGAAAAGTTTTAAACGAAAAAATTAGTATTTTCTCTTTGTTTAATTCCATAAATAAAATTCCTAACAAAAAATAAGAAAAATTCCAATTCGTCTTTTACGAATAATAAAACAAAATGAAAAAAAATCTTGAAGAGAAATTTTTTGATCAAATTTTACCTTAAAAATGCCAAAATCTTTGATATGTAAATTTTTTTTTATGTACAAAAAAATCTTTAAAGATGAAATCAAAATTTTAATCTTAAAACTCTAAATAAAAACCAAATATTCGATTGGCCAAATTTTAAAATTTATATTAATTATTTGATTATTTCAAAAAATAAACGTATACCATTTACTATGTCACCATCTTCTAAAGGTCTTTCATCAGGTATACCATGGCATATGATTTCATTTACTGATCTAAATTTATAAATATATTCTTTTAAAAATCCCTCTATTTAAAAATAATTAATTTACGTGCAACAAGATTTGGGATATTTGTAATAGTTCAAAGGGGAAGGATAACAATCTCTTTCTATACATGCCTTGATAAATATATTTTATATTATATTAAAATTATGTATATTTTTATCCAAGAAAAAATGACATTTGATTATGCAATAGAGCTCAAAAAGCTGAATTCAGAAAAAAGGAACAAGAATCGAGCTAGAAACTGGTCTCAATCACGACTAATTTATGCGTACTTAGTTGGATAATGGCTAAAAAAATAAGCTTTATGCTCTATTTGCAGAGGCGTGTAGATATAAAAATAATTGGTTAGGCATTGAGACATGAGTGAATTTATTTCCTCGAGGATAAGGTGTAAGTCGTTTCAGGTTAAAAAGTAAGGTTTCGCCATTTTTTTAGCCGGCAAAAACGGATTAAAGGGGAGTAATTACATGACTAAAATACTTTAAATTAGGGGTGTACCGATACCACTTTTTGGAGGCCGATCCGATCCGATATTCCAGATATTTAATTGATATCGGCCGATAACCGATCCGATATCATATCTAATTTTGTATTCTGCAAAGATACCGGTTTTAATTTTTAATATTCTTTTTATTAGTAAAACATCTATAATTTTACCATACCATAACATATGTCATTTAAATATATTATAATGATCAGTTATAGTTTATATTCAATTCAATTGCAATTATTTATATAATAAGTAATAACATTAATCTATTTACATAATTAGTAATAAACAAATATATTGAAATTTGAAATTAATATATAAAATTAATTTATCGACGATTTCTTTTTAGAAATACCAAAATTTCCAATTTATCAGAGATCGGTCTGCGGTGATGGGGACTGTTAATATCACTAGTATCACTAAAAACAGATTCTGAAGAGATTAATGAACACTTTTTTAAACAGAATGCGAAAAAAAATAACTATATTGCAGAATGTTTATTAACTAATTATTACTATTAATATAATTAAGCATAAAAATATATTCCGATTTTATTTATAAAAATAAATGGATTTTTAGATATAACTTTTTTTTAATTTTGTTAAAAGCGCCATTTTATATCGGATCGGAAAATTTTATAATATTTGCCAATAACCGATATTTTAAAATGGGCGAAATATCGGCCCGCTCCGATCCGATATAAAATATCGGTACATCCCTACTTTAAATTGTTCAAAATTTTATGTGATCCTTGTTTTAAATGAGGGTTTTTTTAAAAAAAGAAGTCTTTATTCTATAAATTGCCTATTACCAGTTTAGAAACAAGAGTTCAAATCAAGAACAAAAAAAATTTAATTTAGACGAAAAATGTAGGAAAATAATTAATTACCTGGTGTACTAGTCGATCGATTTCGTCAGTAGTGATTCCAACTTTGATGGCTTTGGCTGCCACATCTAAAACCTCCCTACCTAGCTAATTATAAATTACATAATGAAAATTGATTATAAATTAAATTGTAAGAAATATTTATTAATAACACTTAAGATATGATGCACTGATGCCAAGCTAGTGTTATTAGAGGTTAGATTTTTTGAAAAAGACTAACCCAATATTTTAGCCAAAAAATATTACGCGAGCCTGAAAATTTTGCCCATAATGGGCAGAAAAGTTTGGACATATATTAACGAAATCTCGGGTTGATATTATTATAACAAAAATCTTAAATTTTAAAATAAGGGAAATTGAGCCGTTTTTAGCAACGACCTATCCCCATGATATCGTCAGGTATCTGTCAAATTTTTAAATTTCAACCGATAACCCCAAAATGATAATTATTTCTCGTAAATAAAAATATTTATTTTTTGGTCAACTATGAATTTATATATATAAATTATTACGTGTATAAATTTTTAGACGAGAAAGAAGATAAGATTGCATTCATAGTGGGATCCGATCCGACAAGATTTAAGAGCTAAGAGATTTTAAAAATCTTTTAATTAGATCAATTTTTCTTTATTAAAAACAATAATTCTTAGATTATTATCATAAATAGGATTAATAATAATTTTTAAAAATTAATCTTATTAACATATTTTAATAATCGATCAGCTTTTATAGTGTCGATATGATCCCAAGTATGAACCCAGCCTAAAGATTATTGTTAATTTAATTTCCTTTCTGTTACCTTCTTATTATTCAAATTAATCTAAATGATGAATAAAAATAATTATAATATTGATAAATAACTTATATCTTTACCCTCCCCCCCTTAATATATAATATATTAATAACAATTTTTTTTGGTATGAGCACATCTTTGATCGATATTTATTTATGCATAAAATAAGTTTATTTTAGGTTTCCACTAATAATTTATGATCCTATCATAATAAATATTCAAATTCTTCCAAGATTGTCTAGGTCGTCTTTCCAAGATCATGTTCTGGTCACGGGACCTGATGCCCGGTATCAGTTCTAAATAGCTAAATCAAAAATTGCTAAAAAAAATAAGTAGGTTACCAATTTGATTCCTAATGAAATTACCAAAGATGGCTACCAATTTATGATGTGGGATTATGTCGTTTGGTTCCCGTTCTAAATCGCTAAAAATAATAAAAAGAATAACAACCACTAAAAAAAATATATTATAGATATCAAATAGTTATATTAAATAATTAATACAAATAAATACTTTAAGGGTGATAATATATTTTAATTATATAATTTCAAATCGTTTTACATTTTTAATAATTTGTTAAAATAGTATTTAAAAAATTTATAATCTAAATAGGAATTATTAAAATATTAAAATATTAAAAAATTTATTATTTCAAAACACAAAATTACAATATATTATTTATTTCTAAATTTATAACAATATTTCTCTAAAATATCCAACTTAATATATTCAAAAAATTTAAAAAATTTTCAAGCATAAATTGGTCTATATATATCAGAGATCTGCAGAGGTACCATTTGCACGACCCGGCCCGGATATTTTTAAAAAAAATTTTTTACGGCCCGGCCCGGATTTAAAAATTTAAGGCCCGGCCCGGAATTTTTAAAAAAAAATTTTTACGGAACGGCCCGGATTTAAAAATTTAAGGCCCGGCCCGGAATTTTTTAAAATTATATTCGACCTGGTATATACAAAAATTCACCTATGAGGTATTTTACCATATTTTTCAGCGAGTATTATCGCTTATTATTTAAAAAATACATGTAAAAAGGTAATATTTTGAGAATATTATATTGAATTTATAAAAATTATAAAACTGTTATTTATAAAAATAGATATTTTGAGCATATACTATATTTTATATTGCATTTATATAAATAAAACAAATATTCATAAAAATGTTAATAATATTTTGAGCATATACTCAATTTTATATTGCATTTAAAAATAATAAAACTAATATTTAATGGAAAATATTTTGATATAAAATAAAAATAGATCGCTATTTAAAAAAATGCATGTATAATAAATAGTATTTTGAAAATATAATCTAATTGCACAATATTAATATAATTTATTTTATAATATAAATTTTTAACAAAAGAAGATAATTGTATTATATAATATTGTAAAAAAAAATAATGAAAAATGTTGGATTAAAAACTTTCATGACTCAAGGTAAATATAATAAATATTTGACAGTTTGCAAAGTAAAAAACCAGCATGATTGACAAAACTCTATACTCAAGAAAGATATTAAAAATTCACAAATTATCATGAAGAAAGAGAAGCATATCTACCATTTCAGGTTGAAGATTACTTCTTCTTTCTTCAAGAATTCTTGTAGTAGAAAAATTCCGCTCACAGCTAGCACTTGAAGCAGGAATTGCCAATTTTGCTAAAATTGGAAATTCGCTTTGATGAGCCGCCCACCACTCTAACAAATTATCCACCTTAAATGTTTCATCTATTTTTTTATTTATGTAATTATAATATTCATCATCGGGTATTGACATATTACCAGAATTACCATCGACCCATTTGTCATAAAACGATTCAGTTTGTTTAACAACAGTCGTAATTTGACTGGTCGATGGTATTTCATTTACTTCCTGAGCCTCTAATTTAGTATAATCTTTTATATAGTTTTCCGTCATCTTGCGATCTGTCCCTGACTATATACGTAATTGCTTGAATTTGGGACAGAGAAAAAGAGAAATAAAATGATACTTGTGTAAGCCAAATTTTTCAATTAAAAAATGCTTTATATTAAGTAAAATCAATTTTATTTCTCCTTTTTCGCTTTGAAAGGTATTACAAACTTCAAGAAGTGATATTCCTTTATTTGATTGTTTTGGTAAAATATATTCAAAAAATTTAGATATGAATTATAAAAAAATATATTAATAATACTTGAATATTGTGGCTTATTTAAGATATTTCTTTATTTGATTGTTTTGGTAAAAATTTAGATATGAATTATAAAAAAATATATTAATACTTTGAATAAATTTGCAGTAACCATCACCCAATATTATATTAATCATAACTATAATATAATATAATCTTATAACCATTAACTCATAATGTAAAAATTTGTATAAAAAATATTAAGGCCCGGCCCGGGTTTAACAATCTTAGGCCCGGCCCGGATATATTAAAAAAAAATTTTTAGGCCCGGCCCGGGTATATTTAAAAAATTTAAAACCGGGTTTAGGGCCGGGCCTGCAGGTCTCTGATATATATATAATATATATATCAAATAATAATTATGTTTTTTGAATATCAATAAAAATAATGTTGATACTTGACATATCCTTCCTCTTTAACAATAAGAAATCCCTATAAGTGTTATTAGTTCCAATAAATTTGCATCCTTTATTTTTTTTCTTTTTTAACGACCCTAAGTTATTCTTTATTAACGCCTTGAACAACGAATTTCTCACGATGTCTGTACCTCCTTGCTCTTTCCTTCCTTTTTGATTTATACAGCATCTTACAAGAAATAATATCCTGATCATGTATTCTCTACTGCCGGGTGTTACCTCTTGATAATTAAATTGCATTTCTCTGCAAATGGTATTTATCGGCGTGCATATATGGATGTTATAGCAACAATCAATATATTTTTTTTGTCACGCCTCTTTTCCTTGGTCTATCTCAAATGAGCTTCGAAATCCTTAATTGATATTCGACTCTTTAGACATTTTTTTAGAGTTCCATTTTAAGCTTCTTTTTGGTAAACCACATCAATTTTATTCTGTTATCTCTGATTGTTTATACTCCCTAGTAATTCTTTATTTTTTTAATTACCATTTCTCACTACATATAATTCTTAATACCTCGAAATCTGCCATGTTGTTTCATATTTTTCTACAAATAATTTAATTACTTTCCAATCTATTAAATTTGACATCTGCCATCTGAAGTGTTGTTAAAAATCTCGATTTAGCCAATTTTTAATTAAAAATTTAGGCCATGATCTCATTGTCCAAACTTTCTTGTAAAATATTTTTTTGCTAAAATATTGGCTTGGTTTAGCCGTTTTTAAAATCGAGCCGTTTAACAACACTATATTCTGGAGACCTCGCAAATCATTTAATATCTTTACTTTTTACTTCGTGCTTATTTTAATCTTATTCAAAGTTTCACCAAGGCCCTTAGATTAATTTGATTAGTCTTATTATTATCTTGATGATCTATCAAATTTTAAATTATTTTTAGTTTTAAATATTTATCCATGATAAATTCATGTTCATTTTATTAAATCGGTTATAAAGCTGTTTTTTTAAAGACCAGATTATGCCGGATATTCGTGCTTGGTTCATCTTCTTGACTCATTACAAGTGAATCAATAAGTTTAATATTTGTCCGAGTTCAAGTATTTTGTGGACATTAAACTTGTTGATTCACTTTTAATGAGTCAATAAGACCAACCGAGCATGAATTAAAACGGAAAATTTTGAGAATATAATGAGTTGAGAGTTAATTATTTTAAAGATATGGTAGTTATAAATTGAAAAAATAAATATCGTATTATAATATGGTAACCTAAAATAGTAAATAAGTATATTATATTATAAATAAATATAATAAGTTAACATTTAAATATTTTTAATTAATAAATTTTTTAAAATACTATTTTAACAAAAATATCAATTTGTAAAACGCATACTTAATATTATTTCATTTTAATATATATTATCACCCTTAAATATATATTTGTATTAATTATTAAATATTTGTTGTCAATAATAATTATTTTTTAGTGGTAGTTAATTTTTTATTATTTTTAGCGATTGTTATATTTAGAGATTCCTTGTGTTCATCGTCACCACAAGAACATGTAATAATAATAGGTTATCACGGTGTTTCCAGCAACATTATTAAGCGTCTGTAGGTATTCCTATGAAAAAATACATAATGACATTGTGACATGTCAATACTGAGAATTGAGACCATTTTGTTACACTTAAAATCGAGCGTTAATCCATTCTTTCTTTTTCAGTAAGTATTTTTGTAACAGAAAATTGGAAATAAGGTCCTGCAATGTCCCAGAATATAGATGCACCCACATGGCGTCTGATCCGAATTCATTTGATGGCTATTCATGCAATGTGCCTAACTGACATCTAAGCAGACTTTAAAAATAATATGGCAACTCTCCAATGGTGTCACAACTAAATCAGATGATCGTTCGAACCCAAGTTGTGTACAAGGTCCGACTCGCACAGGACATCAGGCTAAAGATTTGCAAAAGAATTTTTAATCCTACAAACGGTTTAGTAGCAAATTTTTTTTAGGCCTAGGCCTATAACGGCTCGAAATACGTAGGGAAGAAATATTGATTAATTCTTTTGCCCAGCCCAAATAAACTTTTTTAGACGTTATGGGCCAAGTATTGGGCTTTGCAGACGTCTAATATAGATATAACAATTAATTTATAAAAAGGTGTAGAAATAGATAGTCATAAAAATTAGATATAGATATTTAAAATGCGATGGCCGGAAAATTTTTACAAGCCGGGGTAAACTTTTGGCAAAAATTTAACGGGCTGGCCTTTGCAGATCTCAAGTCCAATGCCAACATTGTCTTTTCGACAAAGGGCATAAAAATCACAGATGCAAGTAGATCAATTCTATAACCGAAAAAAAAGTATTTGACTGCAAAGATCAATTTTAGAAACCAAATAGAATCTAAATATCTTATTTTTCCAAAATAAGATACTCCAATATTTCTAAACTCGATCTGAATGCAGCTAATATTTTTTTTGAAAAATTTTTTCGGATTGTGGATGGATCGGCCTCTGGCGACTTTCACTATTGTATTAATGTTAAGAGCAGCAAAGAGAGGGTGCATTAAGATTTTAATTCGTTTTTTGGGGTTAATATATAATAAATAAAGAAAATTTCAATTAACTTTGCATGCTTTCTTCAATTTAGTAATTTCTTCTTTGTTCAAGACTTCAATCACCCCTGAAGATTTTGAACGATTTTCACTAAAGGAGACACCTTTTATATCATTTATAAAAATACAAAAAAAATATTTTATTATAAATATATAATTTTAATTTTATAATGTTATGATTAATTATATATATATCGGTAAATGGTTTGAGTTTTGAAATTATAAACGGACTCTACATTATTGAAGTTTTGAAAAACCATATATAAATTAAAGGACTATTCATCAAGTTAAAAAAAATATCACTAATTGTTGTGTCCTATTTCCGAGGAAATCATAAAATATAAGTGGAACCAGAAAGAAGAAAAAATTGGTCTGATGCAGGGGTTTTTATTTATTAAGATTAAATTTATTTAAATTATTTTTAAAAAAAATCCAAATTTAATTATGATAATTTTTTTTTTGTAAATCATTAATAAATTTTTCGTTATGTCGTAATGATAAATGTAAGCATGTATCATATAAATAAAATGTTTAAACCAGTTCCATATAATAAATGGCGGTTTTCGAAAAATATTCCAAACGTGTGACTAAATATGTTATTATTAATCATTGATGATCTGTTTCACATTTATATAAATGTATAATAATTGATCTTTTATTAACTTCCCATGTTGACATAGAATTAAAAAAATTAAACCCCCCCCCTACCCTACCAAGTTGCCCTGGTGGCATTGAGTGTTGTTGAGTATCATCTATTTTTATAATAGATTGTTGAGTATCAATGTAATCAAATTCATTTCATACACATGTCAAGATATTATGTTAAACAATTGTACCCACCCCTTTCCATGACTAGAACCGATTAATAAAGCTCAGAAATTAATAAGCCTTAATTTGAAAATAAAATACTTAAATAGCTAAAATTTCTGAGCGATTTAGTATTTCTTCTGGGAGATTCAACAAAAATTTTTATTTTAAGAAAAATATCTGTGAAATTCTGTATAAATCCTTAGCTTTAAAGCCTTGTCCTAGTTGATTTATTATTAAATATACGGTTATTAAGTATCTACTAAACAGCCTAAAAAGCAAACGAAAAAACAATGCCAATAAATTCTTAAAACAAACCTAAATAAGATCAAGTTCAAAAGCTGTTTAGTCTAAGTAGGCTAAAACGTATTTAAGTATCAAAATGAACTAGAACAATTTTTTTTACAAACATAAAAAAAATTATTCACCTTATTATTGTTGTTATGGATTGAGTCATCTTATCATGGAAGAATTGAATCATCAAATAAAATGTATTTTACCACAAAGTGGTTATAGAACACTATATACAGACAATATGTTTCTCAGACAAACATAAAATTTTATAAATAAAATCTAAAAATCAAGTTGTTTTATAGACAATACTTTTAGTCAATCAACTATATTTGACTGGCCAATTAACCAGCTTGCCGACCCTGATTGAGTCTATATGATGTGTGATTGTGACTAGAGCCCTGCAATTCATCTAGGTGGCCTAAAATTTAAAAAATGGGTAGAAGGCTTGAACTCAATTTTTTTAAATTGGGCCAGGCCTGCCTAAAAAATATACAAAAATTTTAAAAAAATAACAGGATATTGATTTCTCGTTTTATCAAAGTAAAAAATTATATACAAATCAATTAGTTTCACTTCATAAAAATGCATTTACTTTTAAAAATAAATGTGGGTTCAGACTTTGGACCAGGCTTGGGTCAAAAAAATTGAGGTTATTTTAAATGAGAACATAAATATGTCATGTTGTTATATGAATTATTTTAACCTTCCAAATCAATTAATTTAATAGAAATATTAACAAAGCTTATAACCAAATAAAATAAATTTTAAAATATGACTTATACTTTATGTATATATTTATTTAGTAATAGTTTATGAAATTAAAATTGATATGAATTTATTAAGATTAATCTAAAAAAATAGCACTTAAAATTAATAATAAATTTAAACCAATTATTTAATATATTATTAATATGTTATGAATTAAATTTTAGCAAAAATACTTTACTTAGATTGTTAGTATCGTAAACAATGTAATAAAATAATTTCAGATAATTATTGTCAATAACAAATGATATTAAATTGTAGTAAACCATGGGTTTAAAGATAATTTAGTTAAATGGTTAAATATTGCAAGTAAACCTTCTGGGTGAGTTGCATAGTCAGGTTTAACAATTGTATCTGGAACAATTCTTTTAGGGGTCTATATAGGCAAAATATAAGTAAATAACATAATTTTTAAAAATACATAAGGGAAAGGTCTTAATAATCCTGAGTAAGTATAATGGGAATTGTTTTCTTTAATATTTTCTACTGATCCTATAATTTATGAATAAAAGGGATATAAACAATAAACAAACTCACTTGCCTGTTTGTGCTGTAACTTGTGTGAGTCCCATGATTGGCGAAAGCAATCCTATAAGATAATAAGTATATACATTATATTTATTAAAACCTGTGAACAAAAGTGGACTCCATCTGAAATTCCGAGTTTTAAGCAAGTAGGACATCTAAAATTTGCAACTTTTTTGCAATCCACTTTTGAGCATATTAAATTTTGCATTATGGCAACATATTATGCATACATTCATATAGAATGAGCACATGCTTCGGGAGTAGGGGAGACAACCAATAACATAAAATATTATTTGAATAAATTTTATTGTTTAAAAGCTTTAAATATGTTAAAATTTAAATATAATCAAAATAAAAATAAGTTTATAAAAACACTAATGACCAACTTATCAGCAATTTGTTTTCACTCTTTTTGATCAGTTCCTGTAGTAGTTAGTTGTGTTGTTAGGTTAAACCGAGACTTAACCTGAATTCTATTCAAGTTTTAAGTGGCAAAATTTAATTCAAGTGGAACAGCTCAATAAGCGATGTAAGTTAGTCGATGAGTTGTTTATAAAGTTGGCTCAATATTTTTTAATGTTTTCCTCATGAAATAACAATAATAGCAAACCAATTCAAAATGAATTTTAGTCGACTTTGAAGCCAAGCAGACTCTAAAGCCAACTGATCTAGCCAACTTATACTGCTAGCCGCTCAAATTAAAGTCCTATGTTAAAATTCCATCTCTAGTTCAAAGTCATAAGAATTCGACTTTTTACAAGGCTAATAGTTGACAAAGATATTAAACGGCCAGATTTGGGTCAATTTTAAAAAACAGCCAGATTAAATATTTAGCCACAATAATATTACGTCAGACTAGATATTCTGCTTATAATTGTCAGAAAGATTTAAACATCTATTGGCCGAATCTCGAGGCTTATATGCTAAAATCTTAAACGGGCCGTTTTTAAAAATCGACTCAAATAGGGCTATTAGACATCATATGTTGGCAAATAACTGTCATGTTTTTTAGGGGCTTAACTATATTTATCTCAGATTAAAGCGATTAGAAAAGCTAAATTATGAACAGTGTCAATCACAAGCTATCTTTTCCCATCTATATTGAAAAAGTTTAAAGTCCTATTGCGGGAGCTAATGATAAACTATAAAAGATATAAGGATAGAGATAATATTCATGAATATCTTCTTGAATAAAATATTTTCGAAAATATCGATTATTAAATCGTTATGATTTAATATATTTTATTTATGTTTATATGAATTTTAATACAGTATTTGTTAAGTGAATAAAATAACACGGGTGTATTATCTTCTATATAAAGGTGGTGAAACAAATAAAATAAATATAATTTCATAAATAAAACAATAAAATCTTTGAAGAATTAGAAATAGGTATGGCTATAAGCTCTATTCTCAGAATTTATTTTGATTCAAATAATAATTTTCAAAAATTCCAACGTCCGAATTTCTTCAAAAGTAGAATCTAAGAATTTGTCTTCTATGATATTATTCTATTGCGGGGTAGTTTTTAACTTTATTATAACCTTTTTAAATCCAATAAATGATGCTATTATTATCTTTATTTCTGATTTTATTCCAACAAATTTTAATTTTATTCCATTTTAGTTATTTTATTACCATTAAATTAATATTTTACAATTTGACACTTAAATTATCGATATTGCTCTTATATGGTAATTTTCTAAAAATAGGTTAACACATAATATTAATCTCAATTTCTCGATTTTTTTAGAAGAATAAATTTTAAATGATCAATTCTTTCTATCAGCATTTACATATTCTACCATATATAGATATTTTTTAGAACAATAATATTTTACATTACATTTCCAATTAATCATATATTAATAAAACTGATAAATGAAATCATGCATAAAACTTATCATTTAAAATATCAGGCATAAAAAATGATTAAAAAAAACAGGATATTATGTAAAAAGTAAAATACTATTATTTATTTTATTTGGGGTGCGTTTCTCCTATAGACATTCCCTCTAAGACTTTTCTCCTATAATATTTTCGCCTAAGGAGCGCCAATGGTCAATTAGTAAGCATTTTGCCTATAGAATTTTTGAAGACTTCTCCAATAGCTTTTTGCCCTAAATATTTTTGCTTAAGGAGATCTATTACAATGGCTATGGTCTTTTAGCCTAGGGATCGCCAATAAGTAGCCATTTTGTCCAATGCTTTACGCCTATAGCTTTTTTTCTCCAAAAGAACGCCAATGCCAATAAGTAACCATTTCGCTTATTGAATTTTCGCTCAATACATTTTGGCTATAGCCTTTTCGCCTAAGGAGTGCCAATAAATGCCAATAATGAACGGTATACTGTTGATTCACTCCAACCATAATCTTTATTGAATTATGAGCAAACATCAAAATTATAGATTTCCAGATTAGATATTTTCCTCTCATTCAAAGATCAATCTCAATGGAGTGACCCATGTCATAGTTGAAACATTTCAAAAATCATCGTATGTTTGGATTATTAAGTTATATGTTTATATTTAGATTAATAAAATTTGATTTTGAAATCATTCTATATTTCGATTATTAAGTTATATTTTATATTTAGATTTAGAAATTTCAGGCGCGTACGCAGGAATTTGGTCTGGGGTGGGGGGATAATAAAATTTTTTAAGAAATATTATTGTTTTTTTAAAATATCAAGCATAAATTTATTAGGACTAATAACTATTTCTAATACACAATTTAAATTAATGTGAATTATAAAAAAATTATATGTAAAGAATCACTTAAATGACCCAAAATAGAAATTTGAATTTTTTGAGCCTTTACACAAAGAGTTTCTTAGGAATAATTGCATTTTGTATGTAATACATTTACAATGTAAAATCCAATCTTCGTTGTGATTGAGCTAATTTTTCAATTATCTCATCCTTGCTTGTCGTCAAATACCTATGAATATTCAAAAGATTCAAACCTTTCAATCTACTTTCAGATGTTGTACTTCTTGGTATGTTTTTCAGAGACCTGCAGGCCCGGCCCCCGGGCCGGACAGTATTTTATTTTTAAATATACCCGGGCCGAGCCCAAAATTTTTTAAAAAAAACACCCAAGCCGGGCTTAAATTATTTAAAAAAAACACCCAATCCGGACTGTATTTTTTAAAACAGTCTATATTTGAAATCGTTATTATTAGCTAATAAAAATCAAAAATAAATATAATTTATTTTAAAAAAATCCGGGTCGGGCCTAAAAATTTTTTAAAAAAAGCCGAGTCGGGCCTAAATATTTTTTTTAAAAAAGCCAGGCCGGGCCTGAAATTTTTTTAAAAAAAACCTAGGCCGGGCCGTAAAAAATCTTTAAAAAAATCCGGGCCGTGCTCTGCAAATGGTACTTCTCCAGGTCTCTGTTATTCTTCTTAAAAAAGAGAATGTTCTCTCATTAGTTTACTAATGGGAAGAGTTTATAAACCCTTTTAATACATTGGGAATTTAATCTAAAATGTGTTTGAAATAATGCAGAGCATCCATAACATTTTTTGGGACTATATTAACCATAGTTAATCTTATAAACATAGTTATTCAGCTAGTAAATCATCATAAGATACTTTAACATATACATAATAAAAATCTAACAAATATTTTTTTTCCTATCACCATCTGAAAAAGGTTGGGAGGGCTTTTGTGGAAGTTATTTGCAGATTAGTAAGTGCTGCATGATGAATTAAAAATTCATTTATTTGGGTTATAAATGTATCTGATTTAAGATATACTCTTCTACTGATCCTATATTAATGTTTTAACGATGAGCTTGCCTTGCTACAAGTTGAGGGAGGCAATATTAAACACGTATAGCTCTGCATTTGACTCAACAATAAAATATAAAATATGAAATTCTTCATCAACATTAGCCCTAATTTCCTTGAGTTCTGATAAAATGCTCTCCGCTATTCTCATTTTCTTAATCAAGTCAATGTCATGTTTTTGAAAAGTAATACTTAAAATAGTTATATAATTAAATAATACATTCTAATGAGAAATAAAATTTGGAATAAGCATTGTATCCAATAATTTTCTTGCTTCTGAGGAAATATTTCTTTCAGGTCATTGTGATATTTCAGTAATAGCTAATAATTGGCTCTTCTAACTCCTTAAGCTGTTACTGCTTGATGGCAGAGACTCTATCTCGTTGGACTTGCAATTTCTTTTTCCCTGTTGGACAAGAAGTTTCAGAAATAATTATTATTTGACTAGAAATTTGAAAATGGTAGATAAATTTTGGCTAGAATAACCAATGTAATAAAAAAACTCAAAAAAAAACATTATAAAGATTAAGCGGTTAATGTTAGTTATCATTTCCATAATAATTTTAAAATGTAACTACTAGGGACAATATTTTTTAAAAATTACATTCCATATCTAATAGATTTTAAAACAATTATAATTGACTTTATAGGGGAGACCGAGGTAAGCGATCCGCGGGGTAACAATGGAAAGTGAATAATTTCTTTCTTGAGCAAAAAGATTTTAAATTTGGTGTGAAAATGTATTTTTATATCTAATTTTTTATCTATTTTATCTTTTGAGAAACTTTCCCGGTTTGATATATTATAAAAACAGTTATTTACCCAAGAATTATAAAAATCACCCTCCACTTTTTTTTTGCTTTTAGCAAAATATATTAAAGTTCAGAATTTAAAAATTTGCATATATGTTCCTTAAAGCCATGCTATAAAATAAAATTTATCAGAAATTTACTTAACTAGAAGTCATGCAATAACAATTTACATTCACCTTGGGGTAAAGTTTCTATGGTTAAATTAAAATGTTCTACCTGATTCAAGCTGTAAAAAGATAATTTTTAAATATTAACGCTTACATCATATAAAAAGATATTTTGTACAAAAGGAACATTATAAATAGTTTGTTTTATTTGGAATAATATTTTATGAAACAAAGGGGAAGAATATTAAACTATAACAAATAGATATTTTTTGAAAAATATTTGTCTACTTGCTATTTATTTCTTTAAATAATTTATTAGGAAATTTAAAACTCGGGGAAATAAATGATATAACATAATGTTTTAAAAGAAAAAAAATAACACTAGTATATATATTCCCTTGTATAAAAACTTTAATAGTATGAAACTATCTTGATAGCAAATTTAATTACAAAAATTTTAACCAGAATATAATGTCTAAAAGATTAAGGATGTTAACATCTATCACAAGAATACTTCATGATATTGCATTTTTAGGGGAGAAAATAAAAAAATGTTCACCTATTTTGATATAAAATGTCAATTGTTTTATTTAATTTTGATATATTGGATATTATTAGTCCGATTAATACTAACAAAAATGGTTTTTTTTCTAAAAAAAATTTAAGATGTATAGGACAAAAAGAGCAAGACAAATCTTAACTAATATTTTGATGTTTCCTAGGATCCTTTTTTAGATGATGGATTGCAATATATAATATCATAATTGATATTAATTAGTCTATTTGTAAAATGATATGTGATGGTTTTGCTGATTATTAATTTATAATCAGTGTTTACATGCAAGATTATAGGAAGGGAAAATAGGTTTGGCATGAATATGAGTTTGCTGAGAATAAAGGATAGCAGAATTTTTTTTTAGAAAATAATGTCTATGATTGTTTGCAATATATAGATTTGATCGATGATCGGCTATATCATTGTATTATAAGAGATCTACAATAAAGGTATTTTTTAGAGCAATATATTATGTCCTATTTCATCTAAAAATTTAATAGATAGCCCCTCCAATAAATTTATCCTATCCCCCTTAAAGGTGCTTACCCCTACCCCCTCCCCTCATGAAAAGATGTATGCGAACTGTTCCTCCCCCACCGCTCATGTAGGGCTTAAAATAAACCTGGGATATATTAATTTAACATGAATTTGAAATGTATAATAAAAATGATAATATATAAAATAAGGTCAAAAATAAATAATATATATTATATTTATCGCAATCATTTATTCCAAATATTATTTTGTTTGATGAAATCTACATTAATAAATATGTAATTGATTCCTTAATAAATTCTAGTTATTGCCTAATGTACTAATATAATAGGATTTAAAATATTAAACATGGTAGTATATTAATGGTAAATTAGTCAAAGCTTACACTCCTGAAACGAAATATTGGAGATAAACATTTTTTTTCTCTTATTTTAAATATTTAAAAGGTTTATTTTTATAAAAATTGGGACATTAGTTAAATCAGAATTTCTGTGCCTATTGGATAATTAATGTAGGTTTATTAAGTCAACATCCGGAGTCATTCCTAGCAGTTAATAACGTATAGTAATAAATATGGAAATGAAAATAAATTCGCCTAAAGTTGAGGCCTTACAAGAGTATCTTTAAAAAAAAAATTTTTTAATTCTAACTTTTAAATAAAAATAAGAAGCTATTTTAATGTAGTCGTTTTTAACTTTTCCTTTCTATTTACTTTTCATTCATTAGTCCAATGTTCTTATGTACCTACAATCGCATACTATAATACTAAGAATGTAAGAATTAAATAATTTATCCTTATTCTTACAAATAAATAAAAAATAATTTAACTCAAATCCAAAATTTATTCATAATAAATAAATATTTTTGACAAATCATTTATAATCATTATACCCGTATAAAAAAAATGTAATTAAAAACATTAAAACATTTTTTTTACAAAAAAATAAATTATCTTTGATTTTTCAATTTGTTTATTAAAAAGGGTCCAATTTTTTTTAGTGGATAAAAAATTTGTTATCTTTCGAATAACATTATTTTCACCAGAAATGACACTTCTTGTTAAATGTGGAGCGGACGTCTTTGGCATCGCATGAATATGAGGAAATAAATTCATTCGAGTTGCTGAGACTTCCGATAACTCTATTATATTAAAAATATAAATTTTTTTAAAAATATTAATATCATTTTTTTAAAAAAAATCAATAATACCTAAAATTGGCATGAGTATGGGAATGAATTAAAATTCTTCTCTCTACTAATTCACGATTTGATACCGTACAATCACTCTAAAAATATGCATATTATAGTATATGATAAAAATTAAGACATGGCGGAGTAAAAACCAGAGTCTGGAAACATAAACTAAAAAAAGTTCTGTTTCCGGTTCAATTTTTTTTTATAAAGATGGATTTATTTCTTAAGATTTAAATTGTTCCAAGGGTTTTGGTACCGGAAGTTAGAACGCTCGAAACTGGGTTATAATATAAACCGGGACTGATTTTAAAATTTTCAGAAACCAGTTTTAATGAAATTGTATCCTATTTATATATATCTATTTTTGAAATGTATGAATCCCTTTGGAAGATATTATCGTTTAAATTAATTATTTTGATTATACTTTACACAATATAAATTAATTGAACTGTTTTTTAACAGTTTAGGAACCGAATCTCGGATATTTTATTTCTGGTTCTTAGATATTTTCCCGGTTCCAGTTTTGTGATCAAAAGTAAAGAAATGTCTATATTATTCTTTATATCATTTAAATTTTTTTAAAGATGTATAGTAAAAAAAAATATTTCAATATTATTTAAGCATACATTATTATTTTTTATTTAATCGTGAAAATATCGTTTTTAAACATTATATATATTAAATTTAAAAAAAAACAGAAAAAAACAAAGGTTGTTTTTCTAATCTGTATTTTTTCCAGAAAAAGGGGGTATCATTCTTATATGCATCTCCTCTTATCAAGATATAAGTACACCTAGGATTCATACCAGGAAAAAAATCATATTTCTTAAATAAAGGGGTAAATTTCTGATTCATCGGTCACAAATAAAAGGTTAAATTTCTCACTTCATTTGATAGAGTATTTACTAGTGCTAAGCTAAATTGCTTTGACTCCTCGAAAGCATAACTGGTAAATTCAATATTAGGGCCCTTCATAGAACCTATTTTTTCCAGCTCTAGTCAGATCCAAAAATATTTAAAAATTTGACATGCGGTCTATAAAATTCACTAATATTTTTAGAGCATTCGAATCCTATATAAATTATTTTACGCTAAAGAATGACCAAAAGCTGTTGTCCTAATTTTTGGATCATAAAAATTTTAAAATAAAAATCTAGCATTAAGTTAGATGATCGATTTGAATTTGATAGGATTTGATAAGTTCATGCAGGGAATTACAGGGTTTTGAATCGAACCGCCAAACCGGAATTAACCATTACGATTTTCTGAACCGAAACCAAACCGTTATAAGGAAAATATAAAAAGAGCGAACCGGTATGTTATAAATGTTTAACCTATTCAAAACGGTTGTAAAAATAATTAAATTTAGATTATTTACTTAAATTTGAAATTTTAATTTTCCTTGGGTGCAATTTTTAAATTCGTGATTTCTTTTTAGATTAAAATTTTTTATATTATCTACATATCAAAATACCAAATTTATTGTTTTACTTTAAATAATCAATTTAATAGAGGTTAGGCAAATTACCAGTTAATTAGGTAAGATATAATATTAAAATCAGACAAAACTATTCTTGACTAAATTAATAAGTTTATAATTCTAAAAAAGTATCTTAGTTTATATAGAATATGACAGAATTGGTAATTTAAGTTAAACTATAGTATTTATATTTAGTTTAACATCAAAATATATATCTTCTTATTATTTTTAACTCAATGTAAGTATAATATAATACATGTAAATAAATAAATAAAAGTATAAAAATAATTTAATGCAATGTTAGTTAACTTATTTAATCCAAGTTTTTTTAAAAAAATAACCATATTATAATATTATGTAAAATTGATTCTATTATTATTTATTCTATCATATATATAATAAAAAAATTCTGTTCTATTCATCATCATATAGTTTATCAGTATATTTATTAAATAGTTCGGGAAAATTCAAATCCTGTGCGATCCTATTTTAAATTAGATAATATAAAAAATCAATCTATTTGTAAATTAGAAGATTGTTGTAAAGCTTTAAGGGGACCATGCAAATCTCTAGCGACATATAGAAAGGTTCTACTATAGGGAATTCAAGAAAGAAAATGTGACTATTAAAAAACTAAAATAATGAAAAATGCAAATCAGTATAATACAATCCAAAATGCTTTTAAGCCCAGAACTACTACAATAAAAACTTTAATCCGCTCCTGCACCGAAGACCAATAAAATCAATTGACGACACAGCATTTCGAAATGTTATAGACAATAAATATAGGATTGGGTGGAAATTTAACTATCAGGAAAATATACGCAATAATATTTAAAAAATGGCGTTTGATTTTTTGCAAAATATAAAAAATGAAATATAACAAAAACTTACTTCGTTAAAATTAGATATAGCAACTAGATATGATAGGTCCATATTGGGGACCAACATTAAATTTATAAATAACGAAAAAATAAAATCAAGAACTATATGCATAAAAGAGATAAAAGAACGACACACATCAGAATATCTTTAAAAAAATATTTTAGAGTTCTAAAAGAAATAAGAATTAAGAAAATTTACAAGATAATCACCGATAATGCAGCAAATATGATTAAAACAATTAAGCTCTTAATACATTACGATGAAGATGATGATGATAGCCTTAACCATTATTTAAATAATGATGATATAGATAATGATAATATAATAACAATGTTTTAATTAATGATGAAAATAAAGAACCTTTAAATATTGAAAATATTTTATACCTAATACCAGATCCAGGGCATTAGATTTGCCTCGCATACATTTCTATTAACAAAAATGCATTTAAAAATTCAAATGAAATTGTCATTAAAAGCAAGAAACATATGGGAAAAAATAAGAATCAGACAATAGCTATTCTGTCCAAATTAAATTTGAAAAAACCACTAATAGGTTGTTGCACAAGATGGAACTCAATCTATTTAATGTTGGAGAGATTACTAGAATTAAAAAACTTTTGCCAAGAAATATCGTTCCAAAGCAATGATCGAGAAAAATATTTATCAGAGAATGAATGGAAAATAAATAGCGATTATATTAAAAGCTTTATATCCAGCTTATATTTTGACAAAATGAACAATTGACAATGGGCGATTTTTATGTCGCGTGGATCAAATGTAACAAGAAAACGAGAAAATAGATACTCCATTTGGCAGACTTTTAGTTTCTACGATAAAAGTACGGGAAATAAATTTGAAAAATGACGATTTTTGCTAAGCTATATATCTCGACCTAAGATATAATGTATTTTTAACATTTGAAGAAAAAGAGATTTACAAAAAACATCTTTCTAAAGCTTGGAACTTAATACAAAATTTAAATAATCAGAATATTGAAATTCTAGATAGTATACCCTACGTGTTCACATTCTAAAGATAATTTTGATGATGGTTTGATTTATTAAAGCCACACTAAAGCCTTAATAAGTATAATTCTCAGGGCATAGAAAATTATAATTAATGTATAGAAATAGAATATATATTTCGGTCATTTGATAAATGATACTAATCTTTTGAATTATTGGGAAAATGTAAAAAATAATATGCCAAAACTTTATAAATTAGCTATAACTGCTAGCAGTCGAAGGTATCCATCGAAAGAGCATTTTCTAGCGTTAAGTTTAAACAATCCGGAAATATTAGAAAATATTTTAGTTGTTCTAAATCTCTTTTTAAACATAATAGTATACATTTCTTTATATTTATGCGTTATTTTATTCTACATTGTATTTGCGCATGTTTGTTTTTATCTAAATCTAATTTATATTTACTAAGTTTTATAAAAATATCTATTAGATTGTCTTGGTTAAATTAAATAAGAAATTATAAAAATATAAATTAAAAAGATTCTTCTCTTAGATTAATATATATGGCTTAAGATTAATTTTTTTAAAAAAATCAAATTTATAAAAACCGGAACATACCCGAAAGAACCGTTATAAATTATAAATCGAACCAAACCGATATGAATTTTTTCAAAAAAACCGATATTGAACAAAACCTTTATAAAATCTTAAACTAAAAACTGAAACGAACTGAACCACTATACCTAACGGTTCGAAACCCTGGGGAAATATATATAATATATAAACAGTCAAAATTTATTAGAAAAAATAAATAAATAATAAACCTGAGCATGAGCTAAAAAGAATAATTGATCGGCCGTTATATTCGAATGAGATAAAGGTCTTTTTAGATTCACATATTCAATTTTTGAATTAAGGGCCTTGCAATATATTATTAATTTTATGTAGATACTATAATTTAATTATTATTCAACTTTATAAGCCATGATTAATCCTATATTATCCGCTACGTCTTCCGTCAAAGTTTTATCTGGATTAAACTATTGGAGGAAGATGGAGGGGGGGAGGGGGTTAAAATTTTTTTAAAGGTTTTTCAAATGGAAATTATCTAAATAATATTGTATTTTTGGACAAACCTTAAGACCATCGTATGAATAGGTTGAATATTGTTCTTGAAGGCATCTGTTTCTTTTAACAAAAAATTTGGCAGCATTTGCGCTTAAAATATTTCTCGATTCTACATCTAGGTAGATGGCTTAATTCGAAATATTTAAAAAAACTAATATTATTATAAAAATATTATTAGGCTACATCATAACAAGCATAATTGCCTAATTATATTGGTATACAAAGGGTTTTTTTTAAAAAATTTATGAATAAAAATCGGGTAATTTTAAATGTGTAATAGAAAAGAAAGCTTAATATATATATGTCGTATTCACTGAGATGGATCCTTAAACCTGAAAAATATTATTAATCGGAAATGCATGCATTCCACCATGTATAGAGTCCACAACTGTGAATTTTAAATAACTTTGTCAAGAACTGTTGAAAAACTTTTAATTTATATCCGTTTTTTTTAAATATAAATTATAAAAAAAAATACACAAAGATTAATGGGGAAATATTGTCCAAAATTTATAATAAGTATTCTACACATGTTGGAACATATTTCCGGCCAAACCAAATTTTTCAAATTCAAAAATGGCCCTCAGTAAAATTATATAAAATTTAAAGATTCCGTATCCCCAAATAACATTTTTTTTAATAAATAGATTCGTAGGAAATATTTTTTAAAAAAAAATACTTAGGGAATCAAAAGCGTGAAGGATTTCGTGGGCAATTATAGAACCTATGCCGCCATAATTGATTGATCTTCAACATATATGTTTTTAAAAAAAAAATATCTATATGCGTTGTTATTTAAAAATAAAGTATGAATATATAAAATGTCTGTTCAAGTTGTTATTTCGTATCAAGTCAATTCCACGCGAAACATTTTTAGGAGAAAAAGCGTTATCCTTACTCTGTTTTCACAGTTAGAGCGAATTCGCGATATACAAAATATGCTGTATTTTTATTCTTCTCCGCGATCTAACTGGGAATGCAGCTATATATAAATGCAATACTGGTAGATGCATTATATAACGAATATAATGCCACGAAAATATTATCGCAAAAGCAAAATTTATTATACTAAAAAAATATATATCAGGACATAGATAGATATTCATCTACCCATTCCTAAAATCATATTAATAAAAGCAAATCATAAGATTGGATTCATAGTGATCCGGCACGTTTTAACAGTTGAACAATTTTTAAACATTTTTCTTCTTTAATTTAATTTTTTTTAGATTTATTATGAAAATATTTATAACGAAAAATTGCAGATTTTAAAAATCGATCCGCTGTTAAATCGTGCGATTGATCCCACTATGAACCCAGCCTAAGTTATCAATCAGGTTTTTTTAAATCAAGTGTGTATGTCGTAATGGGATATGGAAATCCATGGGATATCTTTTAATTTAGAATAATTTACTGAGGGGCTAATTTTTCAAATTTTAAAAATTCTATTTGAACGGAAATATATTCCAGCATGCTTAGTCTGCCCAAAACTGCGAATTTCATATGATTTTACAAACTTATCTATTTATATGCAAAATCAATATTTTAGAAGTAGTCCTAAAGCTCAACTACAGAATTGTTTAAAAATCTACAGACTGGGCCCTCTATACCTGCTGGAATATACGTTTCGGCTAAAATGAGATTTATAAAATTTAAAAATCGCCCTCAGTAAATGATTTAAAAGTCATCTTTTAATAAGACATATATTTTTTTTGGTGAAATAATCTGACATTAAACAAAATCCTTCCCCCCCCCATCACATAAAATCGCCTGATTTTACTGTATTGGCGGGTTAGGGTTTGGTTCATGTGTTAGAAAATGGTATGTATATATTTAATAAAAGATCAACACGGTTCGTTCTAATGTTACTAGGGCTCGATTTAAGCAGATTTTTTATTTTTAAATGCGGCTAACTCAATGTTTTATCCAGGAAACTATTACGCATACCTGAAGATTTTGGTTTTAGATGGCACAAAGGTTGAACATTTATTAGCCAAACATTGTGGCTTATACCATATTTTCTGACTAAAATATTATAACTGTTTTTATGAATCGAAAATCAGATCAAATCGGGCCGTTTAACAACATTTTCGACCAGATCTGACCCATAAAACAGTTTGCCACTCTTTCCTCCTTTTTGTTATAACCAAATATTAACCAATCAAATGAAGTTCCGAAACATTATACGAATAAAAATAAATATTTTCACGGTAATTATTCATTCATGGTAATATATTTAGGGGTAGTGGCAACTATGCATTTACAAAATTATCTCTTGCGAAGAAAAGCCCTAAGGAAATAGTTTCGCAAAATTTATATGCACAAATATATCTAACATAAATTTTATAACTAATTTCAACAATACTATATCTTGGTATACCCTAAATATGAGAAAATGGTAATATTTTTTTGAATATATTTTGTTTAAAATAATGCCAAATGTTAACAACACTCTTTAAAATAAAATTAAATATTTTAATGATTCCTTTTAAAAAATAAATAATTAGAGATCAATATTTTATATTTGTACATGACTTACAGTGGAAAACTAGGGCTGTACAATGGAGGTTTAATTAATCCAGCTGGAATGCCTAAAACGTTTGATAATTAGATGATTAGGTCATAAAGATTTGTTTATGTTAATACTTACATATCTTATTGGTTTGGTAAACATATTGTCCATTAGCTTCAAAAGCAGTTATATCCCAATCTCTTAAGATGCAAAGAATATATATATTTTTTTAAAGGGAACTTAAATTATGTCCTAAGTTTTAAATATATTACATAATATATAGAACAGTGGGGTATTTAGCGGGAGTGGGTAAATGGGGTAGGTTCTTTCGAAATTATTCCTTAAAACCTTATTTTAACTTTTAAATGGGATTTTATAATTAAAATATTAAAGTATTACATAATTTTATGACCCCCCCCCCCACCTCCCCTCAAATTTACATACGATACTGATATCATATGATTTGAAAAAGCGCCATTATCTCATCATAGTTAACTAATGAGTCCTTTCCATAAAGACTAAAAAATATTATAAAAATAATTTTTAGTGATTTTTAGAAAAAGGATCTGAAATCAAATTAAAGTTAATTAAATTATGGTTATTTAATCTATAATATTTTATAATTTTTATATTATATAACAACTTCTTCAGAGTCGGAATATATTTATAACTTATATTTCTTTTAGGGATATAAATTTCGAGATCAGCATAAAACTTTTTTTATAATCAATACATTAAAATTTTAAATAAATATAGAAATATTTATTTAGTTATTTCTGTATTAGAGAATCAAATTTCTATGTTAAATTTAAATGGAGAAATTAACCAATTCAGTCTAGTTTCTGATATAGCTTCTGAAATAAGTTTTTTGTATAAATGGGCATGTGCTTATGAGTATTGTGGCCAAAATATTCTATAATTTACTATATTAGGAAAAAATTTAAAATAAATTTATGCATCGATACCATTTTTTAGCCTATAACAATCTCAATTTGCTCAGGCTGATACACTAGATATCAACTACCAATACCAATATACATATATAAATAATTACAATATTGGCATGAGTTAACTACCGAACACTTTAGGGAGATGTGCAAGAACTTAAATATATTAATGATATTAGTTATATTTAATATTGATTCCAATATATTAATGATATGAGTTATGTATAATATTGATTTACATATGGAATGATAGTAAAAACTATTCTAATAATAAAGTAAACATTGTGCTGATTAATTTTTTTCCCATAAATTTTTAAATATTGGTTAAAAGCATGTTAAATAATAAGCTCATTATTGACGTCAATCAAAAAGGGAAAATATAATATAGGTTACATTTCTTAAGAATAATGGATCAGTAATATTTAAAAAAAAAGTGAAGATAAGTATTCGTCTGAAAAAATAAAGAAAGGAATAGAATAGCAAGACAACTTTTCATTATTAATTTAATAAAATTTTTTAAAAAATGGTCTAAGAAAACTAACTTATTTTTATTATAAAATTATTATTTTTCAAGAAAATATAATTTTTTTTAGCCCAAAAAACTAATCTTTAGAAATTATGAATGGGGCAAAAATAAAAAATATTAAAAAGCAAATCGTTGTGTTAATATATAATTTTGACAAAAGGAAATAATTTAAAACCCTTTTTAACTATTAATACCAATTATTAATAAAAATAAAAAGAGTTTTATCATAAATATTTATAAACAAACTTTGAGGGCGCATTATCCAGGACAAGATTGTGGAATCTGGCTAATTTTTTATCCTCGGCCAATAAAGCATTTTGGTAAAACATGTCGCTGACTATGAAATCAAACTAATATCATGTTTAAATATTTACAATAAACGATTATGGAATATATTCGAATATGTTTTTCAGGCTTAAATTACAATGTATGTGAGAATTAAAACCATGTAAATGAAATGTTTATGGCTTGTTCCTTACATCCCTCTTATTTAATTTTGGGGACCTGGGGCTGTTTCACTTCCCATAAATATGTCATGAAAATCTACTTCTTCCCTAAAATTCCTCAAAGATAGGGTTAGGAACTATATCTATTCTGGGCCGTAATCAAAACCTTTTGCTCAGGACTAGGGTGCATTTTAAAAATTAGATCCGTGAATAATAAGCACAGAATATGAATTAATGTATTCGCTCAACTTAAGGAATGCTCAACTGTAGGAAATTTTTTAATTGTGCTGAAATATATTTAAAACTAAACAAGTATCTGTAGGATTAAAGGTCAGAGAGATATGAGTTAGGGTTATTTGAAGGTTTGAGAGATATTGGGTTAGGATTTATTGATCTTTTATTATAAAATTTAATCTTTCCAAGTAATTATAAACACACGATAGAACTTTAAATGGATCAGATATTGTAAAAACAATTTCCTTGAGTTGAATCATAATCGATTTAATTAAATTTATGAACATCAACTCCGGTTTTATATGTCTTAATCGGAATCGGACCGGTTGATTTGGTTATTTAATATCTAATTTTAACCTTTACTTAAATTTTCAGGAGCCCAAAGACTTATTTTCAAGGATTAAGAAAATAAAATAATATATAAATGAATAACAACCTCCTCGTATTGCCTCTCCAATTTATCGTTATCCTGGTTTTCGCTTGACGCTCCTACCTCAATTTTCATCGAATTAAGCTATCATTTAGAAATGAAACATGAAGGAAAATTAGAAATAACGATTATAATTGCATTTAAATTAAGGGTATTTACTTTGATAACCAGAATTCGTTTATCAACAGCAGTCAACGAATATAAGGTTCTTATACTGTAAGAAAGCATATCTTTTATTCTATCGAACATATATTCTACCTATAAAATTCAAGTTTTATCTCTAAAAAAGACTTATCATAATGTTTTTCAAACTTCTTCATACTCCTTTTCAGAACGGACATTCTTTTCATATATATTTGACAAGGTTCCTGGCATATAACTTTCGACGGCCCTTGCACAATAATTAACTTCTAGGTCATCCCATTTATACCTAGTGGTGTACTTAATACTGTGTCTCTTAACATCCTTCATGTCTTCTGGCATGAAATGGACTAAGTTGTCTACAACAGCGAATAACATGTAATCGTTAAGCATTCTTTTAAAGGAATTTTTTTTTAAATATATTTCGTGCTATATCAATATTAAATTAACATTTTATTTTTATATTGATATACAACTTTAAATCAATATAATAATTAAATTGAAACACAGTTAAATATATCTCTATAATTCTAAATATTTAGTTAAATATTCCTTTTATTTCTTTATTTATTTTAAAGATCAAAAAATTAAAATGAAATAAAATTATATATATATATACTAAAAAAGAAAGAAAGAAGAATGAATAAATACTTTTTGAAGGAAGGCTTTGAAAGAGCTTTTTTCAAAAAATAATAAAGAGAATCCAAATATTGCATTGATTCTATTATAATCAAGCTTTTTTTGAACTCAATTCCATATTGACTGAAGACATCTCTGAAATACTTGTTCCAATCAAGCTATAAAAAAAAATCGTATATTTAGGAAAAATATATGAAATATACATATAATTCAATTCAGACTACAAAACAGCCTAGCCGAGTTTTTAACCGAAAAATATTGGGGCAGGACTTAAAAGTAAGTCGATATTTATTCCTGCTCACTAACCAATAATATGATTTAAATTGTATATAAAAAAAGGAAAATAGAAAAAATCAGTAATTCACTCTTTTTTTTAAATTCAAAAATTATAGATAATTATATCCCTTATATATTTTTTTAATGATAGTTTTTTGCATAATAAATATTCATATTTAACCTATATCTAATAAGTCCTAACTGATATTTGTCAGTACCCTAAGGTTTAGACTTATTGATTTGAATGCAATCAAATCATTGATTGCAACAAATAAATGTAAATATAAGAGATAGACCTGCAGAGATACTATCTGCATGACCCGATTTGGATTTAAAAACCGGGTTTATAATTTTAAATTCGATTTGGCCCGAATTTTTTTAAAATAAAAGCTTATTTTTAAAAATATATTATATTTATTTTAATTCTTATAAATAATAATGACGATTTAAAATATTTGGTTTTTAAATATTCGGCCCGGCCCGGATAAAAATTAAAATATAGCCCGCGTGAACCCAAACTGGGTCGAGTTTAGGGCCGGGCCTGCAGGTCTCTGCCTTATGACTTTATATAAAGTTTTTTTAAAAATAAAAATCATAATATTTTATTAAAAATGCATCTATGTTTACGAAATTATATAACTTGTCCAGTGTATCTATTAGGTAATATGTATAATCGTACTCATTATCAGGGTTATTTGCTACACTTCCATAAATCTGTTTATGCGTAAAAAGAAAATTAAATGTTTTCATATAACAAATGATTTAAATAATAAAAAATTTGCAATGTGGCACAAATTATTATATTATAATTCTGTTATTTTTTATTGAAAAAAATTATATAATAGATTTAATAAAAATAATAAATTCTATTTTCAAAAAATCCTGGTCATTTTTTGAGTCCGCTATTGTCCAAGTCCAGGGCCATGCTAGTAAATTTTTAAAATGGGATTCGTTAATAAGCAGCCTAAGATATGAATTAGTTATATTTATGCAATTGCTAGATGCTATTCTAAACAAAAATCTTCAAAGATTTTGATCTCTGAGGATTTTTTTTTATCTTTTTGATGCTCAAGCAAGTTGATCATATACATATATATTAAGGGTGGTTTAAAAGTTCACGGACAAAATTATCTAATATTCAGTTATTAATGCTCTTTACAAGCCGAAATACGTACAATTTTGGGAATCAGTTATTTTATTTAAATTTTTTTTAACAATTTCATAAAAATCTAAATTTGCTGAACCCTATAAGCTAAAAATCACAGAGTAGGTTTTTTAAATATGCTGGAATACATATTTGGTAAAATAAGATTAAATTTTTAAAAAAGCGCCCTCAAAAAATTATTAATAAGAGTGAAAAAAAAATATTGACTGAAAAAATATATTGGTCCATATACTTATTAAATAATTTTTCATTTTAATTTGATAAATTGGTGACAATAAACATTTTATTAATTCAACAAGTATAAATAGTTGCAATATAACTATAAAAGGGAAAAATCAACTTAATTCACACAAAAATTTTTAATTGAGAAAGGAAAATATATAATTCATATAAGAAGAATAACAATTATTTTATTTTATATTTAGAACCAGCATGTTTTTTTTCGTGTAACTAATAACTTGTGTCCAACTTTCCACGTAGGTACGTTAGTCCAAAAAAAATCAAACTAATTTTTTTTTAAAGTAATAGTTTTTAAAAATAAATTTCAAATAGCTTATACTTTGAGTGCATTTAAAATATGAAAACTATTCAGGTTTGAGCAAAAAGTGTCTCAATCGACTCGGGTCTCTTCTACATATTTAAATAATTGAGTGAACCCTCGTAAAACCACATCAGCCCTTTCACGAATGTTTTATCAAGCATTTATAGGTATAATATACCAAACAGTATTCACATATTATAGATGGTCATTCATCCATTTAAATACAGTTAAAACCCTATATATACCTAGTCGACTGTATACGCCATTTTGTGGCTGAAACGTTGAGCCAAATGAACGCTTTATCATATTCTATTTTTTTTTCACAGTAAACTTTTTATAGCATTTTGGAACAATTTAATTTTTTAAAAATTAATGTTTTTCCACGTGAAAATCATAAACATGGGTCAACAGCTGATTACTAACATGTACACTTTTAATAAATGAATAGTCATTCTAAATTAATATATATCATTATATACCCTCATGCACACTATTGTCATATCATCTTCTATTTAGGACAATCTTATATTTTGGATAACTTACCAATTATTTTACTTTGATTTATAATATGTCAATATATAATCACCAAAGTAGGCCTATTAAAATTAGGTTATTTAACTTTTTTATTAAATTTTACCTTAGCCAACGCCTTTTCCACGTCCAAAATACCCTCTACATCGTTTATATCATAACCGAACAATTCGTGCATAAGTGTGTAGACGTATTCTCGGTGTAACTTATAAATGGCTGGGTCAGAGTAATATTTAGGTAATTTTAAACGGATCTGCGGCGCTCGCAAAAGGATAACTTGAGTTCTTTCCTCATGATTATACCTTATGTCGAGGCTGAAAAAGATGTCGAATCTGTGTAACTCGGTTAACAAACTTTGAAAACTCCAATCCGAACTTTTAACTTTTAAATCCATCTTTCGTTGCAAGGCGGAGAAATCCTTACGGATATAATCATCCTTTAAATCTAGCCACACCTTGGGACGAAATATTTGAGACGCAAAAAATGCTTGGGTCGTATTGTCACCCGTTTTCATATCTCGCCTTTGCATGCAGGAGTCTAAAAACATTTTGGCTTTTTTTTCGAATTCATATTCGTATTTGTAGTCGCCATCTTTATATTAAATGTAAACAAAATTATTTTTTTTATAAATATGAGTGTATATATATATCATGTGGGGGTCTAGCAAATTCGTTACTAAAGCCCGACCATCTAAAGGCTCTAAATCTTTATTTTATTCTCTAATGAAATTGTGATAAATTGAAATGTTCAGAAATTTGATAAATTTAATATTATTCATCTATTTTGTAAATATTTCCCACCTGATGATGTTACGGCCCGCCGCCATGTCTTGTGTGAACTCGAACATGTTAGTATTAATTTCAGAAAATTGCACGATAATTCATAGATTTTTGCATATTAATTAAAGTCAACCCAAAATAGTGTAAAATTGTTTCTTAAATTAATTGGTTTCAGCAGAGAGGTACTCTATACATGCTGAAACACGATTCCAACAAAATCAGATCTCTTAAAATTTAAAAAAAAAATGGGTGCTATGAATTATTTTAACTTAAGGTTTTTTTTTTGAATTAAAATTTTACGACACCTATTAAGAAACTGGCTGGCACTAGGATTTTTTTCCGAGATACAAATGTAACTAATATCAATATATTATTAGAGATAAAAAAAAATCAGTTTATTTCAGAAGAAGATAAATTTCATTCTGTTTTTTTTGCGAATAAAAATTTTGTAGATATGTTTAATTTTTAAATTTTATTGCATGCGAAGATTGTAGACTATGCCTCTTCAAAAATGAATGATCGAATACAAACAGTGGAGTAGCTAAGAATTTTCCTTAGGGTCCATACATATAAAAGCTTGGGTGGCTTAGTCCTACAGACCCCCTCTAACGGGCCTTCGGCCGTGTTTATCTTAAAAATCATATTTGTTTTTCTTATAACATAAAAGTCCTAGAATTATTGATCATTTTAATTAATGATAATATATAATAAATATATTTTTTAAATGCATCAATAATATGCTATTATAATTTAGTAGATTATTCTCAATGACTTTATAATAATACTATCCAGAATAATTTCAATAGCGATATAATATCCTTCCAAAAACATCAAAACCAGAAAAATATAAATATTCATGGTATTTATTTGATATAAAGTCACTTTTGAGTTTTTTGAACGTATAATTTCAATTTTTGCTCTGGGGGGAGGGGGGGTCCAAACCCAAAACCCCTCCCCTTCATAGTTACGCCACTGAATACAAACATCTGATGAAACTCACCCCCCCCCCCCTGCCTTTTCCCCTGAAAAAATATAAAAAGAAATAGGGGTCATTTAGAAACAATGTGAAAAGAGTAATTGAAAAGTTTACTTGCGACCATTGCAGAATGAAAGCTAGTTTTATTAAAGCTCTCGATATTTTAAAAACAATATTATGCAAGCCTAAAGATTTCTCTCATAGATGCAGAAATTTTAGACATCTATTAACGAAATCGCGAGGCTTGCGTAATGTTATTTATAATTGGCTTAATTGAGCTGTCCAACAACTAACATAAACATTATAATATGCAAACTTCCGGACTTTTTCTAAGAAATGACCGGTCCGTTATTCCGTCCAGCTCCGGTCTAAAATAGATAAGGCCGGACCGTTGACCTTCACTATTTGAAGTAAATGACAACTGGTTCGGACCTATTTTTAAAAAATCTCAGTCAGTTTGAAATATTTAATTTTTGTTAATAATTTTAAATATTATAATAACAAGGTCAGATCCAATCAATTTTATAAATAATTAATCTCTAAATTCTGCTTAAATATTGGCCTCCTTTTTTTTATTTGACCTAGCAGGAATATCTTTTATTATTTAAATAGCAGAGATAGATAGAATAAATCAAACAATTTTATTTTTATTTAAAAAAGATTACCAAAACTATAAACTGGTTTATTATCCACTAGCCCTTTATTTTTTAAAAAAATGGATTAGTTATATTTAAAATAAGAGAAAGGATAAAAACAAATCCCTAAATGAAAAATGGATACAAGATTATTTTTAGAATATATTTTAAACAAATCCCTTCCAAAATGACAGGTAGCTGACTTTCCAAATTTAAAAATGGCTCTCAAAAAATGATATAAGATTGAAAAATTCTGAATCCCCATGGAATACATTTCCCAATACAACGCATAAACTAGAGGTCTGCATTGGTTGGGTTTTTATCCACCCTCCTACGCCCTCCCATACTTCAGACGGGAGTGGTCGGATTTTCTAAAATATTTTCAACATTGGGTGGCTAGCAGGCGGGTTAAAAAATATTTTTAATAACGGGCGGGTGTGGACGAGTAAATTTTTAATAATTTTCAGGCGAAATGAGCTGTATTTTGAAAACATTTTGTAGATACCTCTAAATATTTCCATTAAAAAATTTTTTGTTTTTAAATTAAGGCGTTTATTTGAATATTTTAGTTTTTGACTAAAAATTTGGAAGACTAAAATATCTTAATGAATTAGCAATAAGAGATGTGAATATAATTTCTTTTAACCGGCTCGTTCATTAATTTATTCGCCCACCGGCCCATTTATTTAAAAATTGTCTAACCCGTCCGCGTCTGTATAATCAACTTAAAGACTGGTTTGGATCTTCATTTATTTGGTTAATAGATTTTGCAGGGTTGGCAAGTCGATCAATTGACCGGTCAAATTCAGACAATTGACCGATCAATTGATCGGAGGAGTATTCGGGCAAATGGGGTCAAATATACTTTATAAAATCTGAAAAAGAAAAAAATTAAAAAATATTTGGAAAAGGTAAAGATGATATAAATACATGCATGATGCTATTTATTTATTGTGTTCCCCAATATCAAGGGGAGCAGCTTACTGGTAGAGAATTTAATGAAGTATGTGATATAATACAAGAATTTTGCATTTTACAAGGTGGTAATGATCAAAATATTTCAAGTGATATCATAAATATCACAAAATTAATGTTATTAAGATTATCAGAGTTGTATAAAAAGTAGCTTTATATATCTATATACTATTTAAGATGTATCAATATCTGTTTACTTTTAATATTTTGATATACTTTTATTTAACGCTTTTTTATATAAAAAATAAAAATTTAAGTGCAATTTTATCTTATATGTATGATCATATGTTATTAAGATTATCAGAGTTGTTTAAAAAGTAGCTTTATATATCTATATACTATTTCAGATGTATTAATATCTGTTAGAGATCTGCAAAGTAGTCCCGGGGGCCTAATATTTTTTAAGAAAATTCGGGCCGGATCGGGTCTTAGAAATTTTTTAAAATATATCTAAATTTATCAATTTTATGTTGAATTTTTTATGTAAAATAAAAAACCTCTGCTAAAAAATAGTTACCCTAGCTTTTAGCTACCTTAAAATGAACCCAAATTTTAGCTGAAACTAGTGTCTTAGTACTTAGTGGATTTTCCTCAGTATGCGTCGGTAAATTTAACCGACTTTTAGCCATTTCTCAATTGTACAAAGGAATAATATAACACTATTCAATCAATTATTTTTATTTATTAATTAATTGTCCTAAGTTAAATATTATCCTTTAAATGATATACATACAACATAAATAATATAATATTATAATTAGATACTATAGTGAGATATATTAAGAATATCGTTTTAAAATTCTATTTATATGTTAAATATTTATTATTCTTTTTACGGATTATACTTATTTGAAATTATTATATAATATAATAAAGACAAATAACCTTGTTTTAATCAATATTAACTCTTTATTTATATAATTTCCAATTAATTTGAGCTATATAAAACTGAGACTCCGTATCTTTTTTTATATAGGAGGGAGAGGGGGTGGTGCTTAAAAAGCAAAGTTTTTCTTCAGTTATGAGATGCTTATAAATAATATTTTTTTTGTTAAAAGTTCTAATAAATATCATTGATATTATAGTGGGAGGGGGGCGTTCAATTTTTTTTAGATGGTGCTAATTTTTTAAAGTTTACCCCTTTTTTTTAATACCAATGGTTCCTTATATATTTTGTTAAAATATTTAGAAGAAAATAATTTTGAAAAGGGATTCATGTCCAATATTTTCGATCATTTATATAATAAGCATTAAGGGGAAGAGATGATGTTGTTAAAAGGCTCGAATTGAGCTGTTGTTTAAAAAAAAATATAGCCCAATTTAAAGCGGACAAATTATGCCTCAGTGCTTATCGGATTTTCTCTGCACCAGCCTGCGAGCACAACAGGGTATAATAAAAAAGACATTTTAGTGATTTTAAGTTGTGGAATAATTTATTTTTTTTAAAAAAGCAACATTTTCTAATCTTTTCAATAATTAATTTTCGTTAAATCAATATGAATTAATTCAAATGTTAATATTATTATCAATAATAATAAATTTTTCATAAAAAATATTTATTTTCAGTTACCTAACAAATCGAGTATAGTTTTAATATTTTCGGTACTAATTTCATCAGTCTTTGAGATAGTTTGTATAGAATCAGATAGTTCGGGGGATTTTTGTTCGATCCAAGAACCACACGCGTAAGTATAAAAATTATTGCATTTTGGTGTATTATGATCAATCCAAAGTGGAAAGGATTTTAGCTCTCGATTCGTTCTGAGAGAGATATTGTGAGATATAGGTACTTTGTTCAATAAAAAGTATAAACATATATAATATAAATAGTGTTTTTTTAATTACTTTTTTTATTATTCAGAACCTTAGCTCACTAAATATATATACCAGAAAAAAAAGGAAAAGTCTATTCGTATAACATTATGCTATTTTTAGATTAATAGATAATAATCTTAGAGCCCAATACAAATCAAAAGTTTCCAAATTAAAATTAGCTCACTTTTTCCACGTTGTAAAAATAAATGTAATAGGAATTATATCTGTTTAAAAAAGAGATTCTAATAATTAAAATTGCTGATAGCATAATGAGTAAAAAAAAATATTTATATAAAATTTATACCTGAGACATTGATCGCATTAAACGCATGTATAATAATAGTAAGGCAATAGAAATAGGATTTGAAAAATATCATAATAAATTATATTTTAAATAAAAAATTAAATAAAAAATTAATTAAATAAATTTTTTAAAGCGAAAATGAAATTTTTAAAAACAAATATTTAAAATAAAATAAAAATAAAGAGAGATAATATATATATTTTATATTATAATTTTCCGATGCCCTCGCTAAGTCATTCGTGACATCGTTGAGTATTTATTTATCAATTTCCAAGAAAATAATAAAAAAATAAAAATAAAATTTTCTTCAAATCTTTCTATTCTAAATTCAATTCTAATAGGTCGTATGAAATTTTAATTATAGTGTGCAGATTTGAAGTAAATATCAGGGATCCAAACCGAACCTAAACTTGACCGCAAAAAGGTATTAACCGCTATTTTTTATCGAATCTGAATCATACCTGAACTGTTAAATTATTTTCTATTCGAACTTAAACGGAACCGCTATTTAGCCTTTGAACCGGTTCGAATCTCATGATTTTGTACTTATAAAATTATGAGAAAGTTATTATTAGTATATTGATAACATTCTAATTTAATTTTTATAACCGTTAATATATCACTATTTTAAAATATTTAAATTTTTAAGCTTAAATTGTGTTTTGGGTCGACTTAATTTTGATGCTTAATTGCTTTTTAGTCTAGGATACAAAGCTTTTGAACTGGAACACCCTATTTTTGATTCATTTTATGTATTTGATGGCATGGTTATTTTTCATATTTTATTTTCTCATATTTTTTTGTTTTTGTTTTTTTCTTTAAATTTAAATTGTTTTCTATTGTTTTTACACTTAGAAATAAATCGAATCTAATATATAAATTATTTACATATAGCATTATAAATACACTCAAAATGTAATATTACTGATTAATAACTATAAAGGAGAATCGGGAGCAAATCTTGAGCATCACATAAAAAAAACCACCCTCTAGAACTCAATAAATTTCTCAAAAATCGCAACAAATGAGATGTATAAATAGAATTTAGGTTTATATACAAAAGTGTTCAAACCCGTTTTTATAGGTTCTAAAACCTATTTTTTTCAAACTGAGCCTGATATTTATTCGATTCTAACCGAGCCGATATCCGTTTCGGTTCAGATCCCAGTATTATATTAAAACAAATTATATATATGGATTTTAGATATCAAAAAATAAATATTTTCTTCAAATCATTATATTCTAAATTCAACTCAACAGTGTTCAGGTAAATTCAATTCATATGGGTCATAATTTTAATTAATGGAATAGAAGTAAAATATAATATTCATGCCAAATTAGAACTAATGGGTCACACATGAAATTTTAATTATAGTGTGCAGATTTGAAGCAAATTATATCAAATTGAAGCAATTTTTATATATGTATTTTAGATATCAAAAAATAAAAATAAATATTTTTTCAAATCATTCTATTCTAAATTCAACCTAACAGTGTTCAAGTAAATTCAATTCATATGGGTCATAATTTTAATTAAAATATTGTCTAGATTAGAAGTAAAATATAATATTCTAGCCAAATTAGAACTAATAGGTCACACGTGTAATTTTATTTCCGTTTTTTTTTATATTTGGGCCATGCCGTGTTAAATCGATCACGATTCGGCCGACCCCTTTTAAAATTGTTAAAAATTTCTTGGATTATTTAGATAGTTATATAAATGAGAAAACCGTTTATAGCTCGCTAGCACACCTGACGAGATATACAGGCTTAAAGGTGCAAAAAAGAGTTACTTTGGAATCTGTAGAATTTTTAAAATGCTTATATCTCCAAAACTATTTATGGTAAAAAAATTGTAATTAAAAAAAAAATCTCTAAAGGGCTATCAAAAAAAACTAAAAATTGACACCAATGAGTCTTTAACTTCCGATTTACATTGTTTTACCTGTATTTTTAAGCAAAAAAGGGAGTTTGTTTTCGAATATTTTTTTTGCTTTTATTTCCTTTTATAAATATATATACGAGTCAAAATCTTGGCGATGCTATCGACTCCAAAAATTGGAGAAGAAATAGATGGCGCTTGATGAAATTATGAATTATGGTTAAAATTTTGCTACTAACTTATCAATAATCAGATATTTCCACTTTTTATACTAAAAAATTTTGAATTTCTATTAAATATACTAATTAAACTGAGGGGCAGTGTGGGCAAATGCCCATTAGACATTTAATAATGAAACAAATTTCTAATAATAAATATCTTTCATATATTTTTTTTATATAATATTCATTTTTATTAATATATAGAAATATAGATAAAATCATATTCCATAATTTAAAAAATATTTGAAACAAAATTTAGTTAGTCCAATTTTAATATTTATTTAAATGAATATCTTTAAATTTAAGATATGGCTCTCGTAAATTAATTAAAATTAATTATTCTTGGACTTGAATCTTTTCACCATTTTTTATTATAGAAACAAAATCCATTTTCTCAGGCATCAGTCTACTATATTCATCATTGCTATAAAAAGTAATGACAACAGCAAAGGTGGTGGCAACTATTGCCGGGTTTAGGATTCGGTGTTGAAAAAACCCCCTTTTCTAAACCTTTTGATTTTAACGCCATATGATATGAAATATTAAATTATTTTACAATTTTTCTTACTGTCCAATTTGATGGTAATAATATTAATAATCTATATTTATTTATAATCGACAGCTGTGGAAATTGATTTTTAAGGTATCTAGAATTTCATCGAATTTTTCATCATTTGATGAAGATAATGGTATAATTTTAGTCGTTAAAACTTTTTTTTACTCTAGATATTTTTTTCTTCGAATATTTCTTTTCACATAAGTTTTCTTTTAATGGGATATTCTCCTCTTGATAGGGATATATTAATGTTATCAATAGCATCTTGATTATTTATATGAGGTGGAGAATCAATATCAACATTGTCATTTGAAGTATTAGGAATGTTTGCTAATTTTTGTCGGCATGAAGAGCATATTAATATATATAAATTGAATGGTAAATTTTTTTGGGTCATCTAGGGTAGAATCTTTCTTAGAATCTTGGAATAATAAGCATGTCTTTGTAGATTAAATGGGTTGCAACATTTTAATATTTATTACGTCCATCTGTATAGAATAAAATTTTAATTGATCTGCACCTAGAATATATGTTTTTACACTCTCTGAATCTTGAATGTATTTGTAGACCGACGATAAAATAATAAGATGCAGACCGGTTGAATTATTTAAAATTAATCTGAACGGACAAGTTAATATTAGGCAGAAAGAGAGATCGTTTTAAACAGTTTATTTTGTAAAATAATATGCTAGTAAAATTTAATCTCGTCTTTACTGTATCAAATTGGTACCAATATTTATTTTTTATAATAGCTCTTTAGAGATTTTTTTTTACCTACAATATAATATATTATTTTTTTTTTTTACCATACATAGTTTTGGAGATATAAGCATTTTAAAAATTTTACAGATTCCAAAGTGGCTCTTTTTTGCACCTTTAAGACCTTATATCTCGGGAACCAGATGTGCTAGCAAGTTAAAATAGGCGAATTTCTCATTTATTTACCTATCTAAATAATTCCAGAAATTTTTAACAATTTTAAAAAGGGTCGGCCGAAAATGGGCCTTTTTTGAAGTTAAGTTTATTAATTATTATTTTTCAGTGTTGTGAATGTGGTGATTTAATGAAACATGTTGGCGATTAATAAAACCCATTCAGATAAAAAATCTTGTTTACAAAAATAATTAAAATAACACATTTACTTTTAAAAACTTGAAAGAAAATGGAAAAAAACATTATTTTTTTTAAAAAATTTATTTTAATTAAAACTTATAATAATTCTTTTTTAATTTTACGACAATTTTAAACTTCTTCAAAGAAAATATATCTAACCGGCTAAAAAAATACCAAGTATTTTAACCTAAAATTATCACTCTGGCTTTACGGGTTATTCTTAAAAAGATAGATGCTCAAATTTGGAAGAAATTAATATAAATTAAAACGCCCCAATGTTAATGTAATTTCTTCGTCAAGCGACTGAAGATTGATCCTAGTTAGCTTGTATTTAGCCATTACCCAATTATAAAAATGACACAACTCCCCCACCCCTCTTAAATAAGAACGATCCGAAATTATTCTAAATATCCCATTCAAGCTCAATATTGCCGAATTTAGGAACTAATGTTATCAAATGTATTTGTCTAAGATACATTTCTAAAATTAGAAAAAAAATCAATACGTGTTTAAAGAATAGCGTTATTATTAAACAAATCCTGCAAGAAAGTTCCTATCTAATTCTAAACTAGGATGGTATAGCTGGAAATAATCGCTCGGCTAACCAATATAATAACTCATTTTAATCTTTATTGTATTTCTAAGCCTTAGATGGTCCCAATTAAATTTTTTTTAACCCTAAGCTGAGTTGCTTGCAGGGTTTTACTATCTAACCTGAAATGCCATTGCATTTTGTTGTTTCTATATTTTTGGTAAATATTTTTAATCTGAACTATTTGGAATAACATTATTTATGTGAATCCCGAGTCCAAGCCATGAGTCTGAACCCCCGTGTCTGAACCACTGATTTGAACCCCGGGTCTGAACCACAGGTTTAAACCCCTGGTCTGAACTCAGTGTCTGAACTAAATTTTCGTGCTCAGAGCAGGCCTGAACACAAAATTGGGTCGTAAATTTTACGACCAAGATACATTTTTTATTATACTCTAGATAAGGTTTGAATAAACCTAAATTAGGATTCTATTTTGAAAATTCATGAAATAATCTAAAAAATTTATTGACTCGATATCAACATTTATCAAAATATAACTAAAATAATGATTTTTAGATATTAATATAATATATGTTTAATATAAATAATTATTATATATCATTAATAAAATAATATAATATATGATTAAATGATTTTAATAATTATTAGATTTCAGTAATAAAATATTTTCAAAATTTTGGTTTTAGACATCCTCGTTTACCTGTAAAGACATTTTTAGCTATACTAAAAAGTCTTTCAACAGGAGCGCTGGAAAGGATTGTGGTGTTATATTTAATGAATAACATTTTTATATCAGGATATTGTTTAAAAATACTAAAATCTCGCCATTCATTTTTGAAAAAAACTATTTAAAATTTGTTGATTATCAGAATTTAAATAATTAACAATCATATCTCCTGCTGTGGGATACTGAAAAAAATCGGATATTAAATTATTGGTTTTTTTTCACAGGTTAATTTGCACTCATTTGAAGACTTTGATAATTCCTCAACTAATCTTTGTATTAATTGTTTTTTTTTATTAAAATTTTCATCCATTTGCAACCATGTCCAATATAGTTTAAAAGAAGGATGAAGCATAGTTGCCAAAATATTTTCATCTTCAAAAATTTTCCCAATAAACCTAGAATTATTAAATACTGATTCATTTATTATTAATTTACCTATCTTCAATTCTTTTAAGTAAGGCATTTAAGAGTGGTAAACAAAATTTCAGGATCATTTGTTTAAAATTTTTCAATTTAATAATGAGCTGGGAAATATATTTACCGGCGATAGGCACTCCTACAATCTGCTGTTGTGCATATTAACGATGGTTCTACTAGACTTTTAATGATTTCTTTCTTTTCATTCTCCCATCTTTGGGAAATTCTAGCAACCACTGTCTGTCTGCAAATTATATTTTTTTGTGGAGCTAATGTTTTGATCATTTTTATAAATGATAGATTTGCAACAATATGACTGAATGCTATCTATAATAAAAACAGATATTAAATCATCTAAAATGGTTTGGGTTAAAGTCTGAGGTCTCTTGAAAAAAAAATCAATGGACGATGAGCCTAGTCCAATATTTTCTTTAATAAATTTTTCCTCCTTCCCCTTTTTTATTTGGATTAAGAGTGTTTGATCTTTTTTATTTGGATTAAGAGTGTTTGATGTTTTCTCTTAAAATTTTAAATTAAAATTGTAAACATTTATTTAGTATCTATGCCCTTAAATGTTTTACAATGTTGCAAGTTGAGGTAATGCTAACTGAAATTTTCATATTTTTTGGACATGGCAAACATTTTACTAACAGAGATTTGTTTTCTTTATTTTGAGATATTATTTTAAAATATGGTCTATAAATTGGCCATGGAATGTCGTCATTTTTGTCATCAATATTAATTTTAAAAATTAATATAATAGAATAAAATAAAAAACCAATTCCATTGCAATTAAAATTGGCAAATTCCTTGAGTTGTATTGTAATATCAGAATTTGTTTGTTATTTAATAACTCGGACATAATATTAAATTAATATTTATATATTCTTTTTTATATATAAGTTTTAATATTTTACATATATATATAATTTTTAATATTTTACATATATATATAATTTTTTAATATATATATTAATATTAATTTATATGGTCATATGAAATAAAATAAATTTTACACTCAAGTATTTTTATTTATAATATAAAAAAGCGTTAAATAAAAGTATATCAAAATTTATCTTAAAAAGTATCTAAAAACAGATACAGATACCTCTAAAATAATATCTAGATACAGATACAGATACCTTAATCAAAAATTTATCTAGATACAGATACCACATTTTTATATCCAGATACTGCAAAATATATACATATAGTACATTATTTTTATTATTTAAATAATATTAGATAGGATTTTATATCTATTCCAAAAAGACGATATATATTACAATATTTGTTTTATTTAATTAAAATTATATGTCTATAATTAAGGATTCTACCTTTTTAACAATATCCTTTTTATTCTGCTAATTTTTTTTGTATAAATCATTAAAAAAGGCCAGGGATCCAAACCGAAACGAATATCGGTTCGGTTTAGGTTCAGGTTGGGATAAAAATAACGGTTCAAGCAGGTTCGGTTCGCAAAAATAAAAATATCGGTTCGGTTCTAACCTATAAAAACAAAAACCTTCATTTTTATTAATTACACAAATATAACAAATAAATATATCAATGATTAATTTAAATATGAACAATTACTTAAATTTTTTAACTAAGCTGCACAATTAATATATTTTCAAAATTCGTCTCCCTCAAATTACATATATAAGGAGATAATATAAATTTAATTGTTGAAAAACATCCTTCCACACTAACTTGGGTAGCTGGCATTGCCAGTATGATATCAGATTTGATGTGTCATTTATAATACTATATGTAAATAATTTATATATTTGATTTAATTTTTTTCTAGGCATTATAATTTATAAGCTTAAAATATTTAAAAAATATTGCAAAATGGCAATATACTAAAGTTTATAAAAATTATGACTGACGTTTATCAATCAAATGTGATTGATAATAATTTTTAAAACAATTTGAATATAATTAAAATTTTTGCAATATACTACTAGTAATAACTTACACATTATTTTATAAGCATAAATTAATGAGACTCGAACCGGTTCAGAGGCACGTTAGCGGTTCGGTTCAGGTTCGGCTAGAAATTTTTTAGAGGTTTAGGTTCGGTTTGGGTTTGATAAAAAATACCGGTTTTTAGCGGTTTAACGGTTCGGTTCCGGTTTGGTTTGAAGACTATACGAGGTTTTCTATTTTTATTATTTAAATAGGATTTTACATTTATTCTAAAAAAACAATACATAGTATATTTATATTATTTATATTATTCTATATCTATTCACAGGATTCTCTTTTTTTTAAATTTGCCAATTGGTCCCTCCAAACAATATTTTATTTTAATTATCTTATAAAAATAATTTGAGAATTGTTACCAATATTCGTCTTTATTCACATACATTTTGAATAATATTAGTAAATATTTCTATAATTTTTATTTAACATTATTCCTGCTCAATAAATAAGCTATTGATAATACACTCTATATTAAGGTGATATATTAATTTTTTTAAAAATTTTAACTACTCTACCCCATACCTATATTTTATTTTAATTTTTTATAAAACTTTAATATCTCATGCTTTGTGATTCATCACTATTTATTATCCACCACTATTTGTGATTAATGGCTATCTCTGATTCCTTGCCATTGTGATTCCCATGCTACGCTCTCCCCGGCCGAAGACCGGGCTAAGGTAACGTCCTAGTATAATTAGATTTTACAAGGTATGGTAGATAATAATTTTATCAGGGTCCCCCAACGATAGGTATAAAGGTTATTATGGTTCGGTTAAGCACCAGTTTTTAAAAACAGTTTACGTTTACGTTCTGGTTTGTCATTTCGCTTCCGTTTTTATTTTAAATTAGTGATTTTTTAATTTTATTTTAACATTATAAAAAATGTTAATTTAATATTTATTCCATTTAAAATTTTAGCCTAAGCCAGAGTCAGGTCCGACCAAAAAATTAACTAAAAATTCGAGCTGGTTTAAAGATAAATTGGGGCGCGGACCGAAAATAATTGTAATATGAAAAAATAAACCTTTTTATCATTATTCATGAGACTCGATTGGCTGTATCTTTGATACTTTTATAATTTAGTCGTGATAACATAAAAAAAATTAGTCATAAAGACTTGTGGGATCTTTGGGAAACATAATACCAAGATAAGATGAATTGGTTAAGATAAAACAATTATCGCTATTTGTTACCCTCCTAAGATTTAGCGATTGTTTAGTAAATTAATACTAGGAAAATAAAAAAGTTAAACTTGGATCCCATATGGAAAGCTTCCCTAACTAAGCAGATTTAACATAAATATTAAATATTTAAATCTTACAAACTTTATGAAAAATAGTTAGATCTAACTTTTTTTGTAAAAAAGTTATAAAGAAAATACCTGAAATGATAAAATTATGATGGAGAAAAATTGGAATGCACCAAGTTTGATTATTGAGTTTCCTAATAAAAAATAGAAATAACATTTTCAACGAGTAAAGACTTGAATGTAAGTCATATGCATAAACATAGCCATTGATTTAAATTCCCTGTATTATGAAGTATAGAACGAATTAAAAACTTTCGTTTATAAAAAATAAACCACAATCCTTTGAATTTTAATTTCAAAAAAAATCGGCGATATATGGGCGCACGTTGCAAATAAAAAATTATATTAGTGTTCAATACGTGAAAGATGAGATTTTAGGCCTTATAAAAGACGTTACATTTAATATAATATTACTTATAATATATTTATTGTTTTGATAATGTTATAAGATTTCAAAGTATGATTTGTGTTTTGCATTATAATTTATGCTCAAGAATTTATATTTGAAAAAGGCAAGGGCCCAGCTATGCATCAAGATAATGGGAACTATATATTCCCTTTCGGTAAAAACAATAATAAAGGTCTTCATTTATTATTGCCATTTTATTTTTAATTTTCTATAAAAACGACTTAATCAAATTATTTTAAAGATTTGAGGATATTCAATTCCTTATAATCTTTAATAAAATAAGAAATTTTATGAAAAGTAAGCAACTTGTTTATTCATAAAGGATTCAAAATATAGTGTTTTTTAGTCATCTGGATTATTGATATAAATTTTTAAACTGAATTTTAATTAAAACGCAAAATTTAACGTCAATTCTGGTTCTCGGGTTTTTTGAAAAAGGTTTAGATTTGATAAATGTGTTACAAAATAGCTTTAGTCCATTATTAAAATTTTTAGAGAAAAAGATGTCCGGTGAAAAATTTATGGGCCCGGTACTCTTAAAAGGGAATTAAATTATAATTTCCAAAATATTTCAAAATTAATTTTATACTTTGTGAAATTTCATTACTTAGAATCATATAGAACTCGGTATGTGCAATTTATGCGGATAATAGTATCTGAAGAAAAGTATAAAATAAATAAATTATATACGAATCAGATTTTAGATATATAGCATAATATTTCATCGGTGGTCACTAAAAAGCGCTGAGTTAAAATTTCGAAGAACCTTATTGAAAACGTTACAAAAATAAATTTTAAAGCCAAGAATAAACCGGCAAATCGTAAAATCTGATGTAGCCCATGCATTACAAGTGTCTATATGAGGACCATCACTAGAAATAACCCCCTCCCCCCACTTATATCACCCTCTCCAAAAAAAATTAAACACATTTGGTGGGCTGCATTTACATGACAGGATATTCAGAAGCAACCCCCCCCCCCCCGCCCTTCCTAACCTAGAAATAACTTAGATTATCATCAATCTACTATACTACTAACTATCAAAAAAAATAAATGTAAAGGTGTCATTATTTAGAACCTGTTAAAACTCCCTCATTTAGAATGTGATTGGCATGAAAATGAGTTTGCTGATAGAGTATCTAACCCTTTTAAATTACATTTAGAAAGATAGCAGAAATTTATACAGAAGTTAATTTTATTTGAAAAATAAAGACTATCATTGTATGCAATGCAAATTAGATATCTAATGTAGGCCCGGCCCGTATCCGGGCTGGCCCGAAACCTAAGGAAATTCGGGCTGGGTCGGGCCTTAGAAATTTTTTAAAATATATCTAAATTTATAAATTTTATGTTGAATTTTTTATGTAAATGAAAATATGCGATTTTATTTATAGAAAGTAGATGCCAAATAACATATATCGTTTATTTTGAGTAATTATAAAAATTAATTTCTATATTTAAATAAATTCGGGCAGGGCCGGGCCGGTAAAATTTTTTTAAAAAAAATTCGGGTTCGGGCCGGGCAAAACTTTATAATAAAAATTTCGGGCCTGGCTTGAAAAATTAGGCCCGATGCAGATCACTAATGCAAAAAGCATATAAGTTTGATCGATGTTTAATAATGTCAATATATTGTAATCTGTAATAATACAGCTATAAATTGCTCACGATTCGTCTCTATAAATTTAATAGATGACCATGAAATCAATTTATCCTCCCCCCCCCCCCCATAAAAAAGGAATCGAACTGACCCCCCCCCCTCTCGCACCCATTTGCTCATGTAGGCATTAATTGCATCCGCATCTCTCAAATTCTACAAATGAGAGGGGGGCCACTAGACTTTAAAATCTAAGATTCAATTTTTTTTAAATTATTTCAAAGATTTTTTAGCTAACATTATTATATTTTCCTTTTTTTTTGCCTCATTTTCAATTACATTAGGTATAAAAATAAATTTTGTGGGGAATCTTCAAATTTTTTAGGGGGGTATGAGCCCCTCCCCCTTATGATGCTGTTGCTACTAATCATTATTTTTGAGCTGTAAACAAAATATATTCATATTTTGAAAATGTTATATAGAGATAACGGTGGTGAAAGAAATAACGGTGGTGATTTTTATTTATAATAAATTTATTCCAAAACTAGAAATGATACTCAAAATAAATATAAAATAAGGTATATAAAAAACAATTCAAACGAAATACATAGTTAAAAGGCTATAAAAACAATTTAAGTTAAAATAAAAATCTCGATTAACATTCCCCTTCTTCTGGCCTTCCCATAATCCATCTGAGCTGTCATAGCAAGCTTGTCGTCCAAATGATTCATCATTTTGATTGTCAAGTTGTTGCATATGTCATCTTGATCGTTGGCTTGTTTAAATCGTAAGCTTCATATCTTAATGGTTATTATTATCAATTTTTTAAAATTGTTATTATAATTATTTGTTATTAAATATATATGAAGATTTTGAATGACTTTAGAATGTAGATATTATTGAATAACGTCGTAATAGAATAAGATTCGTAAAGTAAACGAAATAGAATAAATTTAACGACTAACGAATTTGATTAAGAATAATTGAAGCAGAATAAATTTATCAAATATTGAATATTTGGAAATTTTTATTTTTTATATTATAAATATTGCGTTTTAAATAATAGCGTTTTATATAATAATTTTTAACAATATTAAATTTCAATTTTATCTTCTTTTTTTTAAAAATATCTTTAATTGTAGCGTTTTATATAATAATTTTTTATTAATATTAAATTTCAATTATTTTTATTTTTAAATTTTACTCCCTTATTTTTCAATATAAACAACTTTTTCATATCATAAATTATCTTTAAATTGTTCTTTCTAAAAAGAATTTTATTTCGCCTTCCATTTCTAATATATGATTTCCATATCATATTCTTAAAAACTTTTTTATCATCAAGATGTTTCACTATCACCTTGCCTCTCTTAATAATAATTGTTTGAAATTTCTTTATTTTCACAGTTTTTTTAAATTTTTTATCAATTATAAAAGTTTTTATTTCATTATTTTCTTTAATGTTTATTTCCTATTTTGATTATCTTTAATGTTTATTTCCATTATTATCTTTAATGTTTATTTCCTTATTTTCATTATTATCTTTAATGTTTATTTCCTTATTTTCTATAATCACAAATATTTCAAATTTTATTATATAATTTATCTCTTTTAGTTTATAAGATTTCATTTTGAATATTTGGTTCTAATTCAATATTTTTCAATTTTTTTTACTAATAGATTTACAATTACAATAATAATTTCTTTTATTATAATGTGTTTCTTTATCATATTTATTGTCTAATTTTCTATTTTCATAATAATTCTCATTATTAGATTTATTAAAATATTTATTACGAACATTTTTCTTATCATGGGATTCACAGTTATGACCTCTAAAGTTATTAGTTTTATTATTTCTGTAGTCTCTACAATTACAATTTTCATAATATCAAAAATTATTATTATTGCAATTTTTATTACAAATAATATCATATCTTTTAACAAAGTTTCGTTTAAAGTTGTTTTTAAAATGCTCATTAAGTTTATAATCATTATAATTTCTTTTGTTATAAATATTATTTCTGTTATTATTATAATAACCTATGTCACTAGTATTATAATTTTTTTAAGATTGAATTTTGTCAATATAAATTTATAATGATCCGGGAATTGAATTTAAAATGGCCTATTACTTAATATTTTTTAATTATACCTAAAAATTCATCTTTAGGTATTTCAGTTAACTCCCACATTTGGTCATAATCCCAGAAATCAAAAATACGAAAAATATCAATGGGTACATCAAGAAATTTAACTGTTAATTCATTATTAAGCAAATATTTTTTAAGGTTATCTAAGTATTCATATATGTTCATTATGACTGATTTATATTTAATTTATTAAGTTATTTTATACAACTCTTTAACAACTTCTTTTTTTTACGTGGATTAAGAATATTTTGAAAATCGTCATTGGTTTTACTCTATAGAATTCATAGCCTGTTGTCCAACTATCATATTGGTTCTAGTAAGTTTATATATCCAATTTTAATCATCGTTTCCATTTATAACAACTCCATTATCCATGATAGATTCGTCTAGTTTGATATTAAATTTAGCAATTCTCCTTCCCAGTTGATTCATCCATTTGATCATCATTTGGTACGATTCCAGTGTCATAATGTTGTGTGTCCTTTATATCAAATAATTTTTATAATATATTACATTATTACAAAATTTTTTTTTTATTATTTATATTTATCGGCATATGCACAATATATAAGATTTTTTTATATATCATTGTGCGTGAGTTATCATACAAAGCGGGGCACCATGTTATATAGGTATAACCGTGGTGATTTTTATATATAATAAATTTATTCCAAAACTAAAAATGATACTCAAAATAAATTAAGGTATATATATGTATTATAAAAAAACAATTTAAACGAAATACATAGTTAAAGGCTATAAAAACAATTTAAGTTAAAATGAAAATCTCGATTAACAGAAAATAAGAAAACTTTTATATTTAAATAATCATAAAAATTAAAAATAATAAGCCATGGCCTTGGCCAAAGTTCTTTTATTTGATTTATATTATATCATTAAGTTAAAATGAAGGAAATTGACCTAATCACAGCTGCTTTATTCAAATATTTAGTTTATAATCTTACAAAATCACATGACGTGTCATGCGTTTGATTTATTTGGATATCTTTTCTATAATTAGAGTATACAACTATTTATCATTCTAAAATGAAATCAACATTATATTTAAATGAATTTAATAAAGTCAATGTGCACAGTGTTTCAAAAGCTAATTTGGACATCAGATTAAGTATATTTAAAAGGAAATAGTGGTATAATAAATGATTAATAGGTTTTCTAAGAAAGGTTTATGGGATATTATCATGCCAATTAATATTGACCCTGCTAATTGGATTGTTCTTTTATTTAATTCCAAATGGGGTTGAGTATGTACTTAATAAGTAATTTTTATTATTTTAATATATTTTAAATATATTATGTAGTCGCTGGCATATAGATATTGCCCTAATCTCATCCATTGTATTGATGGGTTTACTTTATTTCAAGAGGCATCAAAGTCCTTTAAACTTTGTTCTATTATTTTCCTTTGTAAGTACCTGACCATTATTTATATTTCCAACATTCAGAGCTATTAAGAGATCTGTCAATTATAATTATTTATATTATAAAAATAATTTTATAATCTTATCAATTTATTTTACATTTGCTAAAAAAATTATAATTCAAAAATTAATACAAGTTGTAATAGTAATTTATAGTTAAATTTATTAATATTTATAAAAACCTTATTCTTCATGAATAAAATTTTAGGCAACATATATAACATTTGATAAATATTTTTCATATTTGTCATTTCCCCAAAATAATTTCAATCTTCAATGATTATTTATAAATCATATATATTTTTTTTGAATTATTTAGACTTTATGTCAAGCATACATGTTAGGAACGACCAGTATTATTATCTAATTATATAAAATTATAATATTGAATATAGTGATATTTTATAAAGCTTCATTGTTAATTAAATCATTAGTTCTCACTATGGCAGCATTTGTTGGACTGCATATTTATGCTATGCAAACTAAAAGAGATTTTAGCAAATGGGGTCAAATGTAAATAATAAAAATAATACTTTTTTATTATTTATGTATATTTAGGCTTATAACAGGGATGTGGGTATTATGTTTAGCTGGTATCATTCAAGTTATTAATTTAAAAATTTAATATTATTTAAATATAAATTATAGTATTTTTATCCAATGTCTGGATTTGAATTTGGTCTATCTATCTTGGGAACTGCACTCTTTTGCTTGTACATTGTATATGATGTTCAGATATTGATGACAAAACTCTCACCAGAAGAATATGTCATAGCTTCTCTTACCCTTTATTTGGATACTATCAATTTATTTTTGCAAATCCTTAAACTTTTAAAATCATCTGAAAAACGTAATAAGAATTAATTTTTAAAATTATCTGAAAAATGAAACAAGAATTAATTATTAAAAAAAATAATTATATTATTAACCTTTTTTAAAATATAATATAATGTTTTATATAATGATCTATATATATTTAATAATTCGATTAAATACAATTTAATTGCACTAATTATTCAAACCATTTTAAATTACTACATTTTAAACATTTGCAAACCAATATAAATATAGTATCTATATATATTATATACAATAAATAAACGTATCTAAATATGTATACTAATTAAAAAGTATTTGATGTATTGAGTTTTATTTCCTATCCAACAAAAAGTGAATTGTCACTAAAGTTAGGCAAATAAATACCCAAATAAAAGTTCCCATAATCCAAACATTCGATTTGTAGGGCATTTTTAAGAGAATTTTTTTGTAAGCTGACCAGGCTTTATTCTCCATCTCTCCTTTGTCTTCGATACCATTATATCTCTCCAGAGACGCACGTTCAAACTGTTTTCGTGCCTTGTAAATGATCAAGCTAGGAAAAAGGCATTGTATTGCTAAACCAGGGTAAGCGCCCGTAAGAGTCACTAATAAGCCAAGATTAGATGGGGAAAACCAAGCTATTATGAATGGAGGTCCTATCGTTATTCCTAAGATCATGAGGCGAATCAAAAGAGCGTTGTGGCGAGAAAAAATAGAATGTAGGTGAGCGAATTTTCTGACCGAGGGAGGAGTATCTATTTTGAGTTGATAATTAATATTTAAAAAAATTATTGGATATCAGCTAATATTTGTAAATTAGTCGATTCGAGATATAAAAATGAATACATAAGATGTATTAGATTAGTGCAAAACTATTTTTTTAAAATATCCGACAAATTATTTTGTTTGCAAAATCGGGTCATTTATAAAAAAAGCTATGGCTGAGTCTGTCTGGCTAGAAATTGTTTTTTAAATTAAGTCCGAATCCAAATGACCTGTCCATTCATATAATTCTAATTCTTTAGTAAGAAAGCTTATAACTTTTTTAATTAAGAATTTAGCCATAACCTAGTAATAAAAAAATGAACCTTGTAAATATTTTTTAAAATGCACGAGGTAAATTGAATCTTTGATCAATTTAAATATTTTAATTATTGTCATTACCAGTTACGTATATTTTTTGTTATATTGCTATTTCTACTATTAGGGCTGTGTCGACCCACAAATTATTAACCAATCCGATATTACTAAAAAAACTGATCCTGATCTGAATTGATTTTTTAACATCTATCTTTTAACCAATGTAATAAAAATATCAATATTTTTTATTTTTTAAAAAAAACCAACTAACCTTCACTATGATTAAGAATATTTTGTTTTTTTTAATCTCCAAAAGTTAATCTCATTTGAAATATTTGCAATGTTTATGGTAATAGTGTTAAACTATCCGATTTTTCTAAAAAGGGTTAAATCAATTTAAGCCAAATGGCAAAATAAATTATCTTGAATAATTTATTTTTGGCCAAAATCTTAAGTTAACCGTTTTTAAAAATTGGCTAAATCGAGCCGTTTAATTATGCTTGCTAAATGTGGTTAGATATTTTCAAATCCTTTTCTTGTTGCAGATAACTTAACAAAAAATTATATAATTATCTTAAAATGAACCAAAACAATAAATATCAACTCGATCTGATATTTTTTAAAAAGTCGAAATATCGGTGCCGATCCTGTATTTAATATCGGCACTTCTCTATTATTGTAGATATTAAGAGCGCGAGTATTGATTGAATATTTTTTGTTACCTTTTTATTTCCCTAGAATATTATATGTTAATATTGAAATAAATTGAGCTTCGATAAAAAGATGACTAGCTATATTATTTAAACTTATAATTGCATTCTTAGAAGTAGTTTGGATTGAGTTGTCGCAGTTATTCGGATATGACTTTACTATTTTTCAACCTGTAAATGCGTCGGAAAGCGCCTTCTAGAAGAGAACCCCTTTCAGGTTTTCCATCTATCCCATTAAATACAACATCAGAACGAATTGACTATTTAGCGCTAATTGGGATATCACTACTTATTAGGCCCGGCATTCGATCAAGCCATAACTCGGAATGCTAACAAACATTTTATTAGTTAAATAAAATTTTCCCCAAAAAAGAAAGCTTTCTACCATGTTGCAAGCAAATCAAATACCAATCAATTTCATTATTAATACGGGCTCATCCCTTTTCAATAAGATGATACAGAGATTTACCATAAAAACTAAAGAATATGACCATAAATTCTTATATAGGAAATTAAATTCTCATTGCTGACAAGTTCACTAATTTTGGGTATCATACCAGCTAAAAGGTCAAATTAGACTTCGATTATAGATAAAAGTGAATTAGGTTTATCACTGAAGAAAAAGGTAGATAGTTTTCCAGGAACTATAGATAGCATATTAGAAGACAAAGCATTAACAATGTTGGCTAAACTTCTGCTCTTGATTGATAAAGGACATCGTTGATACCAAAGCTAACTTTTATTCTTATTCACATGCAAGCTTATGAAAAATAAAAGATTTGCAAAATAATTAATAAGGATTACTGACGATTAAGCAGCTGAAGACTCTTCTGTATTAATATCCGGCAAAAACTAGCTATGAATATAAAAAAAATCACATTATATGACAAATTTATAGAATTATTTTGTTGAAAATATTTTAGCCGGCATCTGAATTCTCTGCACCCCCCCCCCTCCCCATACAAACTGCGTACGAGCCTAATGCTATGTATAACTTTATCCTTTCCAATTATTCATTCATACAATAAATTTTAATCGGATTAAAACACTTGTTTTAACAAAGAAATATCAACGCTCTCTAATAGAAGAAAAATCTAAAAACATGATTTTAATTTTAAACTATTATATAAGTAAACTTGATTAATGATTTTAAAATTTGAAATATTTCTAATTGGCAATGATCGAAATGTAGAAGAAATCCGAGTTGTATATAAGGCTCAAATGTCAGGTTCAAATATCATAAATAGCTCAAAAGCATTCTATCCTACGTAAATATTCGAATATAGCACTAGTAATTTGGGGCAGGAATGTTTAGCGGCTAATATTTTTTTTAAAGGGATCGGATTTAAATTTTGAAATAAAATCGGTATATTTTAAAATTTATGCAAGGAACCGATATTTTTTTTATTTGTAGAATGATCATGAGACTATATTGAAAAAAAATAAAATAATTTCTATATTTAAATAAACTCGGGCCAAGCCGGGCGGACTTTTTATTTCGGGTGGGGCTTTTAAGGACAAAAAAATTTGGTTTGAAAAATTATGCCCGGTACAGATCTAATATATTTTTTGGATATCTTCCTTTTTTTAATCTTAATATGTTTCCTTGAGTTAAATTTTAAAAATAATTTAGTTTTGATAAAAAAAAGATTACCTGTATTTATTTTTCAATGATAAAACTTACAAAAATATGTAAAACCGCTGATTTTTATTAACAAGTTTTAGCAACATAAACAATTTTTTTTGGACGGATCTTAAACAGGACTTGACATATTCAAATCGAATGTACACTTTTTTTATTATTTATTAATCGATTCCTTATACATTTATCTCATGCTATTAATTTCGGTGATCGATAAATATTAAAATAATATCGGATCGGCATCTAAAGAGCCATATCGGGTACATCTGTCCAATATTTATATTGAAACGTAATAAAAAAAACATATATAACTAACTTAAATTAGAGGTTATCAGTTGTTCCCGATCTCCATTTAGACCCAATTTTGTATGGTTAAGATCTTCCCTTTCGCAATCACGAGAAAAGTTATCATTTAAATCGTTCCCGCTGGAAACGTTGTTATCGTAATTTGGTCCTTGTATAAGATGATCAGGTTTAGCTGACGTGAGAAAGCGCATCAAATCCCAAATGTTGTTTCTTAGAGTTATGGCTAAAATGGGAAAGTTGGTGGCTAAGGGAAAAACGGGGAAAATAGCCAAGAAATAACCCAATAGCAATTTAAGTTTATTTTCATTTTGAGGAAACACGAAATTTAGGGTAAACAAATCTTTGATGACGGGTTGTCCGGGGCCGGGTGGAAAAGCGAAACAAGCTAAAACACTAAGAAGAATGTAAAAAATTAAAACCGTCACGTAGGTCATTAAAAAAATCGCAAAAGGGGTCACCATAACGTTTGTCGCTATTCGATTTACCGGCGATGGAATGTCGTTTGTATGATTGAGATCAATGGCCTTATAGGTTGAGAACATATTCTTAACTTAAATAAAAATTTGCTCAGAAACATTGGGTCAAAAAAAAGGTTTAATAAACAAAATTTACGATTGAAATTTTTTTTATTTAATTTGTAATAACATTAAAATCAGGTTGAACCGTTAAGCATTACGGTTCAGTTCTATTCCGGTTCTTAGTTTTAAATTTGAGAACGGATAGTTTGATTATTTTTTCCCGGCTTCAGTTTCGAAATTCATATTGGGTTTTTTAGTTCGTTCCGGTTTTTATAAAAATTTAAATCTTTAAATTAATGTATTATATATTTTTTTGTAATACCCAAAACATAAATTAAGGAAAATAAGTTGAATTTCATTATTTTAGAACGTACAACCACATTAAAAACCGTTATAAACCGGTTCGGGATATTCTATCAGTTGATTTCTGTTTCACGCTTCTTCGGTTCGACACTCTGATTAAAAATTTTTGTAAAAAAGTGAAGCAATCACTTTTAATCCAAAATGACGGTAATTGAATTCGTTTAGCCGACATAGTCGTGATTAAAGATGGAATGGAATGATGGCACATAAATGCGTATACTGCTATACCAAATAGAGATGGTAACCCTTTAAAATCCCATAATTTGGGCCCAATAACGGTTTGATTTGATGCATAATCGTTCATTGATAGAGTGTTAGTAGAATTAGGAGTATTGAGATGATTATGGTCAAAAATTCTGGCGCTAGATAAGCCTATCATGAGTGCAAATGCTTTGTTTATTCACATTAATGAAAATGAACATGTATAATCCTCAAAATGTAAATAAACCAATAATAAAGACTCCCCTACGTCCGCAGCGAAGAGCGGGGGAGGGGGGGTATTATATTATATATATTTTATTTAAAAAATCATAAATAATATAAAACAACGTGATAATTATATTTTAATATTAAATGATATAAATAAACCTTATCAATAATAAGCCGAAAAAGAGATGAACGAAAAGGCGAGTGCCTTAAAACAAAAAATGGGAAATTTCAACTTTACGTTTATTATGATTATTCAATAAGCTATCAGAAAATAGAAGCAGCGTTTCAAAATATTGATAATTCATTGATTTAAATTCAAGAAATGGAGTTAAATATTGAATATTTTTTGAAAGTATGATTAAAAAATAAAAATACATGTTTTATATTTTTTAAAAAAATTGGAGGCTGTGTAAATAATAGCAAAAGTGAGGAGTGTTTGATTGCTATTTTTTTGTTTAAAGAAGGGTTTTAAAAAATAATAAGAAATGCGAGGAAAAAATGAGGAATATTTTATAATTAATTTTAAATGACGATTATTTAAAAAAAGCTAATTAACAAGAAAAAGAATTTTTGAAACAAAAAAGCTTTTTAAATTGCGAATGTTATGAAAATCGAAGAGCCATGGCTATTTCTTTTTTTTAAATTAAAAAATTATATATATTTATTTTACAAGAGGATATGAAAAAAAGATAATCATAATATAGTGAATTCAATCAATACCGGTTCAGAAAGCCCCATAATCTGGGAGATTTTTTAAATGGTCGACTGCACTTAGAATTGCTGTATAATGAAATCAAATTATTTAAATGGACCTAAATCGATTCCGGCTTGATAAACCTTCACAAAATAAATGTACTAAAATCAAAAATTAATAGCAAGACACCCTTTAATACATAGATAACTGCCTCACGAATCAGTGATAAAAAATTTTTTTTAGGATAGGCATTTAGAGAGTGGTAACCATGTATTAAAGTCTTAAAAATTTTTCAAGTAATCTATTTAATAAAACATATTAGGATAAATGAATCTTTCTGAAACCTTTGTTACTTTTCCCTTTTGATTGGACTTATCTATTTTTTGATTGAGAAACCTCATAAATAATTTAGTAATTTTTTTTATATATAGTATGATGTTTCTATGAAGTAAACAATAAATAAATATTAACCTGCCCATCTAGCTATTGTTGTTAAAATTTGTAAATATTTTGTTTTGTCAATTTGATACAAAGTAAATGGGAAAATTAGTATAATGAATGCAATCTAAATAAATATAAATATAAATTTTTTTATTATAATCATGTATTTTTGAGAATCTGATAAATGTTTAAATTTAAAGGGATAGGAATCAAGGCTGAAATATTAATAAAATCAAATTTGTCTGATTTGGGCATCTATAGACAGCACTTTGAAAAAATTTAAAATGTAAGATTATGTTCAATAATTTCATATAATCTTTTTATTTTTATGAATTAATCAAAATCATGAGTAAAATTGTATATGTACTATGCACAAACTTATAAAAAATAAGAATTATTATATAATGGTTGTAGGGGTGTTACCGATTCCACTTTTTGGAGGTTGATCCGATCCGATATTAAATTGATATTGGCCGATTATTGATCGATATCATATCTGCTGATTTTGTATTCAATATTAATCTTTAGTTTTTAATGCACACATTTGCAAAATCGTTCCATTTGAGTCTATTTATGAAAACGACTAACTCACTATTTCATCTAGAAAAATGTTATGCAGGCCTGAAGATTGCTCATAGATGGCACAAATGATTCGACATCTATTAGCGAAATCTCGAGGTATAGGCAATATTTTTTTTGGCTAAAATGAGTTAGCCATTTTTTAAAAATTGGCTCAAATATAGCGATTTTGCATTACTACATACATCTACTCAACTCATATACTTTATAACATAACATATATAATTTAATATACCATTACATAAGTCATATATTATAATGAATGATCAGTTATAGTTTATATTCATGAATCTAAAAGTATATCAAATATTTTTATTGATAAATCACTTATTTGTAAAATAGCATTAATTTATTTCTATAATATAAATAATAAACAAATATATATTATGAAGTTTGAAATAAATTTTTAAAAAAATCAAGAGCATCGAATTGGAAAATTTTATAATATCGGTCGATAACCGATATTTTAAAAAATATGAAATATCGGCCCATAAAAAAATATCGGTAAATCCCTAGTTGTATTATAAAATAAGAATAAAGATTAATTTATAAAATAAAATGTTATCTTAGATTTGGTACAATATGTTTTATTTGCTTTTGTTTATTTGGTACAATATTTTTTATTTTCATGGTGCTTGATAATGTCTTCTTTGATAAATATTGTGAACAGTTCCTTTAGAAATATTATATTTTTTAGCATATACTCCTGAGTATGATGATTTAGAAATTTAATAAACTCAATTCTCTTTAATTAACAATAACTTGTTATATTCGTTCATTTATTTTGTTATTTGATATGAATAATTTTAGTTCTAAAAGGATGATAAAACTTTATATGAATGACATCAAAAGACAAATGTCCACTTTTCAAAGTAAACATTTGCCCAAATATAATATTTCTAGTGCTAGCATGTAACTTTGATGAAAATAATGGCGTTACTTTTTTTGAGGAAAAGGAACATAATTCCTTACTTGTTTCAAATGGTAATAAGTAACCCATTTTGTTTTTTTTGTTTTACAGTAACACAAAACCTTACTTGTTACTTTAAAATTTTTTTAAATATGGAAAAATATATATTTTATATTCATTACATTTTCATTATTAAATTTTATACAGTTAAGATTGTATCAATATAAAATCAATCAAGATATATGTTAATGTGTATCCAATATATTATTTACTTTATATAGAATATAATTCAATAGTACTTAATGATTTAACTCTGCCCCTGCCTCAGTATGATTTTTTTATACCAATAAAAAAAGTTAAGGAAGAGTGCATTGTGTCTTAATTCAAATACTTCAACCTTGGAAAAATATATTGAAAAATACAAACAAAAATTAGCCTTAGTTTCTTTAAATAATACACATATAACTTCTGATAAAGATTAAAAAAAAATTCGATAAGGATCCAAATGAAAAAGTTACTTGAGTTAATTGATCTAATAGTTTCTTTAAAAAAAAATTTTACAAAAAGATCTTATCTCACAACATATTATTTTTGTATAATTTTATTTTTATTATCTATCAGGGAAAAAAAATATAAATTTTTTTAAAAAATATTTAGTATATTTTAAGTAACAAGTAATGAAATATTTTTTTGAATAACAACTAAGTAATGTGTTTCTTTTCCTATTTCAAAAGTAATGAGTTTCATTTTTTAAATAAAGTTTACATCACAAAATATTTCAGAATAAAAAATCTATCATTAATATTTTACTGATTATAATTAATAAATTACCAGATAAATATGATACAATTTTGATTTTGCAAATTTCCAATAAAATAAATTGCAAATATTTGGATTAGAATCATTGGATGATATGTTATTATGTACACTGCTAAAAATTTAACATATTTAATATAGTAAAGCATTATTGTAGTTACCAAGTTATATCAGAGAGTGTTTGAGATATTGCAACTGAATATATTGTTAAATCCCCGTAAAGATATATAATAAGGCTTAAATAAAAAATGTATTTTCCCAATCTTCCAAAATAAATTGATGTTAATTCTCCCTTTAAATATCTTTAAATAAATTGTTATATAAAAAAATTATATACCATTTCAATTTTATCTTGGATATTGTAAAATTTTAAATCACCCTGATCTTTAATATATTTATCTAATAATGGGCATTTTTCATTTTGAATACTATATTTTTCCTTAAATATATAAGTAATATTAAAATATATTTGTAATTTACTTCTTTTTTTATTATATCTGATATATACAAAGCTTCAAGCAAAAATGAGGCACACATATAACTTTAAGTCACACATATATTATTCGATCAATATAATTACAAATATACCTGAAAAAACAGATCGCAATCAAACCTAAACTGCCCAAAATCCACCCTGCTAAACTAAATGATCTAGGCAAAGCCAATGCTCCCGTTCCAATTATCAAATTAAATAAAAATATATAACCAAACTAAAAATATCTATATAAAAATAACAATATCTTATTGTTACAATTGGATTCATGTGAGCCTTTCCCGTCATTATTGCTTAAACATATGATTCGTATCTTATCTTATCTTGCACGTTGGTCATAGACCTGCCCAAAATGAGCCAACGTGAATTATACGAAGGCCTATCCTTCATATAATTATGCCGGTTTTTTACTAAGGATACCGACAAACCTTGTACCCAGACTAATTTATGAGTGGAACTAACCCTCTTCCAATAAAGTGAATAGTTTGATTTAACAAGAGGTATAAATTATATTATAAAGAGAAATAGTAGAAAACTGTCTAAAGTCTTCCAAATACAACCGTCTAATGTTATTTTAAGACATTATTTATTTCAATAAAGGACATTAATGGGAGCCATTATCATTTTACCGATAACCAAATGTATCTTCTGATCTTTAATAGCATATCACGATTGCTTAAATTTAATTTATTAAACACAATTGATTAAATTTAAAACTAACATCACAATTGATTAAATTTAATTTATAACTTTAAAGTAGAAGTTTTATCATTTAATAAGTATCAAATAGATAAACGTAGTGTGAGAATTAAAATATTTAATTTAGATACGATTAGGATACATTGTGAAAAAAGTCCAAAATAAATAGAAATATAAATTCCCTTTAAGGGACCCGGGTAGATAGCAGGCATATAATTATAAATATTGGTAATAAGTATAATTTATTAATTTACCTCGCTTAACTAATATTTGTCCTAATAGAAATTCCTTAAAAACCTCTTTTCAAGAAAATAACTCACTGTCTTAATTATAATAATTTAAAATACATATTAATTATCAATTTTTACCTCGCTTAGCAGGTATTTGTCATATGCTCATCTCATATATAAGTCTCAAAATACATTTGAATATTTTCCTGTCTGTGGAAGCTTTCTTTAAAAACTCCCAAGATAGGTCTAGTTCCACCAAAGACCTTATAATTCTTCCAAACCAGCTGCCTTTATAGGATAAAAAGGGCTTAAGAGCAGTGTCTTCCTGAGATTGGATTATAAGACCTGATGTATTAAATTGTTCGAAGGGTGTCTTAATATATGACCCACCAACTCAATTTTTCTATATTCTATCATTTTTTGAAAAGGAAGAATATTGCAACTCGCCCATAACATATAATTTGTAGTATTACGAGGGTAAAAGGTCCTAGTTATGTATCTTAGACATTTATTAATAAATATTTGCATCTTGCTATTATCCGACTTGGTATCATTCCATGTTTCCACGCCATAGTAAATGGAAGCCATTATTAGAACTTTAAATAACCTAATCTTAAAAGGGATAGATACTTGTCGTGATGACCAAATCTTCATCAAAGCCCTGTACTCTTCTCTGGTTTTATTTAATTTAGACTCTTGATTTTTTTTAGTACAACCTTTCTTATCCAGCAATACACCTAAGTATTTTAAGGTAGTCCCTTCAGTAATCGTATTTCCATCTATAGTTAAATTTACCAGTGAAGGAGTATAATAGGACGTCATCATTTTCGTCTTGTTTTTATTTAATATTAAACCAAAATGTCCCGCCTCTATGATCTATTTATGGCTGATTGGATATCCAACACTGATTCACCGACTAGGTATAAATCGTCGGCGAAAGCTATAGTGTTCAATTTCCCAGAAGACCACTGAGCGAAGTGCATATCTCTGACTTTTATAATAACATGATTGATAATAAAGTTAAATAAAATTGGTGATAAAACACATCCTTGCTTTAAACCCATCTTTATCGGAATATTAGGAGACTTTTTCCCCGCATGGATAATTTGCATAGAATAACCTTTATAAATTACTTCAACAAACTTATCAAAGCTGAAGGAGTACCTACCTCCTTTAATGTCCTCCAAAGTTTGGATGATGTTACGGAGTCGAATCTTTTTTTAAAATCCAGAGCAACAATTATCAATTGTCTTTTCCGTATTAACGCTCTCTCTAGCTAAATTTTTATTGCTAGGATAGCCTCTATGCATTTCGACCCTTCCTAAAAGCAACCAATGAATCCACAAAAAGAGGTTCCACTAACGGTCTTAATCTATTTACTATAACATTTGCAAAGATCTTAACCACCGAATTAAGTGATATTCCCCTCCAATCTTCAAGAAATTTAGGATTTTTAGTTTTTGGGAAATTGATTAAAATGGCGGTGATCCAATCGTTCGGACAAATCCTTTCAAGCTTTACTCTAGATATAATTGGCAGAAGAATCTCCGCGCATAACATGGAGTCGGTTTTTAAGTATTCACTATGTAATGAATCCTGACCACTTGCTTTGTGATTTTTCAATTTGTTAATTGTTCCAACTAATTCAGCTTTCGTTGGTTGAATTCCTAACATCATTTGAGGTTTGGACTATTAATGAACTTCGTTGTACATTTCGTGAGTTTGTTTGTGGAGACCAAATTTCCGAAGAATCATTTGAGGTTTGGGCCAATGGTGATCTTTGTTGTGCCTTTCTTGAGCTTGTTTGAGGAGCAAATTTTTGATGTAATAGAGTGTTGATCATGATAACAGGAATAATATGGGGATTAAGCTGTGGCTTTCGATATACTTGAGTGTTGATCAAGTAAGCGAGAAAAAGTTTTTATAAAATAATGATTTATCAGCTGTTTATAACATTACAGAAATATTTTGAAGAAAGATTTTATAATATTATTGATTGATTATGTTATAAAATTACTATAGTAAATTCTAATAATTAAGGAAGAATTCAAATAAATAGTTTATTTTAAGTTGAAATAAATATTTAAAAAATAATTTAATATTTTATATATTTATATATTTACCATTAACATTAAAATCTATTCTATTAATAATTGTCTTCTATATATTTGTATGATTGGTGTTTTTGATTATAGATTCCAAAGTATTACATATTCATATACTAAAGATATGCGACTTTAGAACCTAAAGGTAGTGCTAAATTAATATTAATTATAAAAGAATTTCTCTTTTAATATTCAATCAAATTTAAATATAACTAAGGCTCGTGTTTGGTAACCCACATAAATAATAGTTGCCTATTATATTTAAACCGTTTTTAGTAAAATATTTATATTATTATATTAATATGTTTGATTTTAATATGCTTTCATTCTTATTATTATTATGCAGTGGAGTATTACTTAAAAAATTGGCGGGGGTAGGGGGGGGGGAGTATGATTATATTAACAAAAATATGATATATATATAAAATCAAACCTATTTTATTATAATATAAATAGACTCTCAATTTATAATATTAACAAATTTAATGGCACCGATATCCATCAGTAGAAATTTAAAAAAATATAAATGTGAATTTAAAAAATTTCCATTACTCCTTCATTCTTTTGTTTTTTGTGCGCTGTATTTTTGAAAAGATTTATTCTCATCACGAAGATTCCTTTCCCGTATTGATCATGGATCTGGAATTTATTCCAACGAAGATCCATTAATATTTATGAACATTAAATTTGACAAATCTTTTACTCTTAAACTCATAGATTATCTATTTTTAAAGCCGTGTATCGAAATAAAAGAAAAATTTATTAAAAACAATTAATTTGAATACCAGTAATATAAGGGTTAATTAAAAGGTATAAGTTGTTATCATAATAAATGAAAATTATATGAGTTATAATTGATGGTATGTAAATTTTAGCATTTGAAGTTAGTATAAATAGTGTGATCGAAAATGTAATAATTAACAAAGAGGAAAGTTCATAATTTTTACCTAATAGTTTTAGTCTTTTTTTACTTCTATAATTTATAGTTTTCTATATCTTATTTTATAATAATTACTGAGTAACTATTATAATGAATTTATTTTCTAACTTTATTTTTTGATCCTAATAATTATTAATTAAATTTGGAGTGGGGATGAATTTCACTCTCATTCAAACCATGAATTTTACACTAGAATAATCAAAATCACAAGATGAAATCCCATTCTCACTTCTACATAACAAGATTATTTATCCACTTGCAATTTTTCATTAGGAATATCTTCAACGATATATTATCGTAACACATCAAATGTTTTATTTGTATTAATTTCTTCGATATATGTCAAAATCTAGCAATCGTTTCATATTCATTATTTGAATTTTAAAAAAATTCGTTTTATTTGTTTCCTGTCAAATCACACTTTTAAGATTTTAGTACAGTTTTCTATATGAATAAATAATATAACAGAAAGATTTCAAAAAAAATAGAAGCCATTTTGCCCCCGTTTTGTGAGTACATTACACAGAAGTGCATGATACTTTCTAGAGAAATTACAAGTTTGTGATTTTTACAAAATGATTTCTGAATCGAGTCACATCTAATGACATACATAATACCTAGACTGACGATTCATTCATTAAAAGTGTGCATTAATGTAAATCATTGGAGACGTCATTTTGGTTACACTAATCATTATTAAAATTTTAAACGAGAGCCTAATTTATTCCTATATCTGATGCAAACTTTATTAAACAATTACCGGATCCTAGAGATAATAAGGAAGCAAGTTATTAATTTAATAGTAGTTTTTAACATGAGAATAATTACTATATATGTTACTAAAATGGCGGGTCCAGCTGATATTTAACGACGCTTAAAAATGCATTTTAATGAATGAATCGTCAGTCTAGGTGTTATATATGTCATTGGTCACATCATTTACGTATATATAACGTCAACATGAGAGAGGGGCGTAAAAAAATAAAAATTATTTGGTTATTAAAGATATAAAATTTTATTAATTAATTAAGTGATATTTATCTCATTTAATTACATATGTACTTTTGGTATAGTTGGAGTTATACCTCTTAATATATTTTTAAAATATGGATAGTAACAACTATTTGATTATTGCGAACTAATATTTGTTTATCATCCCTAGCTGAAATAATCATGAGGCATAAAAGAGTTTAATTACACATGTTTGGAGGTTGTCAATGGTGCCTCATTATAAATTATTTTCAACTAATATCATGATTTTGTTATAGCATTATGAGTAAGCAAATATCGCGGCCTAAAGATCCAATTTTTTTAAATAGGGTTGGGATAGAATTTGGAGGAAGATCGCCTCCATATACAAATTTACGTCATGTAGACGCCTAC